TCGTGATGTGCTACAATAGTTGCCTTTGTTAAGCCCCTCGATCAATTCCCATTCTAGGCCGATTGAAAGTGAAAATCTGGACTGCTGGGCCAAAGTCGGGTGGCTTTCATGAAAGCCGGGCGGCTTTCGTAGTCTGCAACTACGAACAGCTCCCTATATGTGGCGGTTTCCGGCGATTTCGACTCCTATCGATTCACCAACACTTCTAAGTTAAATACCACCACTTTATGTCAATATTCTACACTTTTAAACGTGTAGAACATCATATTTAATCCTCCATATGATTTCTTAAAAATCATACATGATAAAACTAGTTAAAAGAAGATAGTTGAGTTCTTACCTTCTTCCTAGCTAGTTTTCTACTGGAATTTGCTTGCCCCTTACTTCCTCCAAGCTTGAACTTGATGAGGAGTTGCTGGAGCTTCTCTTTTCCTTTGGGTTGGCCGGATGATTGCAAGAGGATAAGGGGAAGGGGTTCCTCCTCAATCAAAGGGATTATATGTCCCAAAATAATGCAATGAGGGGCGTGGTTTTGTCTCCAGCCACCCTCTCATTAAAAGTCCGCCCCCAGCCTCACTTCCTTGTCCCTTGCAGTACATAAAAACGTGGGGTGACCCCCACTTATGTGGGAGGTCATCCCATTATGTCCCGGTGTGTACAATTGGCCCCGAAAGTTGTATTTTTCGGACTACTTTAGTCATATTTTATTTTATCAGGCCGGATAAAATATATCGCGCGTTCTCAACAATTTTGGGCCTTTAGAAACGATGTACATTCTCCAACATTAATTTAGGAGCCTCCGAAACTCATTTCGGGTTGTTATCCGTTAAATTACCAATACCGGTACTTGGGCCCTGTTTGACCAACCGGTCAACTCCATGCCTTTCTTATGGCCCGAATAAAATATCCACCACCATATAGATGTCATCTAGACCAAGATGAATATAATATGTGGTTCGGTAATTATCGGGCGGTCCCCGTTCCCGCTGTGGGCCCCACATGCAATTTACTATTCACGTAAAAGAAATAATAAAATTTAACAGCTACGTAAATTCATAAATCATCTTTCAAGGTTTATTACATATTTTACTAAAAGTAAATATGCTCGGGGTCGGTGTCACAGGTGATCTATATGCATGTGGAGCGGATATTATGTCGGAAAAGGTGCCCTCGGCTGTAGATGACTAGCCGAGGGCTCTGAGCACCGGGGACCCCCTTGGTGCCGAGGGCTACTGATTTTCGCCGTTTTCTTCCAGTAACCTTGTTTTTCTGATTTGGCCATCCTGTGAGAATTGGAGCCTTCGGCCAGGGGGGCGAAGGCACTCCTGGTGTGCACTGTGGGCCGCCTGGTACTCTGGACGCTGTGATTTGGGCCTGTTGGGCTTCCTGGGCCTATTGGGCCTTTATTGGAGTAGTAGGAGTCTGTGGACAGGGGATTCCCGAGCCATATACTCCATCACCATCATTTGTAGGTTACCATATATGGTGTGCTAGGAAGTTGGAATGATCTGGGAAAGTAATGCTACATGTGCAACCATATCTGTTGCCTTACAGAATAAATTATTCAATTTTATTTCCTTCCTTTGTATTGTTTCCATATATTGTCAACTTGGAACGTCTCTCACAGTTAATGCTATGGATGGGCGGGAAGTAACTGACGTGACAGGTTGTTTTTACCAATTTTGCCCTTTAATTTTGGGCATTTTGGGCGGCAAGAACTGATTGCACTTTGTTATTTTATATATAATAAAGATAGTTCACAATGTTTATTGATAAATCTCATTCGAACCCATATCAAATTAACACTATCGGGGCATGCCCCGGGTGCTACTTGATGTAAACTCAAGTATGTCTCTCTTATACACTTGATTTTGATATCGATTTCATTTTAAAATAATTCATTTCTCAGTAGAGCATTCTTTTTATCAACTTGTCAATCACTCTTTTTTATTAATCTGGAGTGTTTGACATTAGTCATGCTCTAATATCTACTTTTATGCCTAAAAACTAAAAAGTGATGACACCCCATTCGTGAAGCCCCCAGAATACACCAGACAGATTTTTGGGAGGATGTAGGGGTGTAAACGAGCCGAGCCCGAGTTTATGTAGGCTTGAGCTCGTGCGCGAGCTTGAAATATATTGTATTGGCTCGAACTCGAGCTCGGCTCGAACGAGTTTAAAAAATTCGGGTTCGAGCTCGACTCGCAAATATTGACATGGCTCAATTCGGCTCGACTCGGCTCGATAATTTTGGTTCGTCAACTCAAATGTTACAAGTTCGATTAGCTCGAAAGTTCGGGTTCGAACTCGAGCTCAAGTATGAAACAATCTTTGAATATTTGTGCTCAGTATTTGCAAATTGAAATTTACATGCCCAACAACTACAAGTAGAGTAAATGTTGTCCAAAACAAATAAAAAATGATCAAACCATGACGATTTAACGGAAACTAGAGTTACGAGAACGGAAAATATAATATCTCCCCGATCCTCATATACATTTACCAACCGGTATTATATATTAATTTATATTATATACAACATATATACTAATATATACTTCGTATTATATATTAATTTATATTAATATTATATATATATATATATATATAGAGAGAGAGAGAGAGAGAGAGAGAGAGAGAGAGAGGGTTGTTCTGGTGCGTCCATCCGCAGGAGAAGCGCCGTCCGGCCGACGGTGTTTGGCCACCTTCCCGGTGGAATTTTTTAATGAAATTTTTATGGCATGTTCTTTCTAGTTTATCCACAAAAAAAAACAGCTAAAAAATCAATCCGAAAGGTCTTCAAATGATTTTTTGAAGTTAACTGTGCAAAATCACACACAAAAAATGCAGTCAACTTCAAAAAATCATTTGACGACCTTCTAGATTGAGTTTTTAGCTGAATTTGTTTGTGCATAAACTAGACTTGATGAAGAATATGTCATAAAAATTTCATCAAAAAATTCCACCGGGAAGGTGGCCAAAAGCCGTCGGCCGGACGGCCCCTGTGGTGCGGCCGGACGCACATGAATACTCCTCTATATATATATATATTAAATATATAAATATACACACATATAAAACTAGGTTCACGAGCCTAAATTTAGTAGGCTCGTTTATGGCTCGACTGCTTAACGAGCCAGCTCGATCTCGGCTCGAGCTCGAGTTTGACCGAACTCGATTCGAGCTTTGACCGAGCAGTTCACGAGCGGCTCGGCTCATTTGCACCCCTAGGAAGATGTAAGTTGAGTTTTTTTATAACACTACGATAGAAAGCAAGATTTCATCTCAAGTCATTGTTTGAAGTTGAATCTGAGACATCTCTCTTATGACACCATCCTTATACCAGGTGAGCCACACCCCGTTTGCTTTTACGCCTAAGCATGACACACTATTCCTAAGGCCTCTTTGAACCGATCAGACAATTATCCCGAAAAATGTAAATGAGAAGCCCTGTTGTTTTTGCGCCTAAAGTTTATACGGAATAGAAAGGACCAAGGAGCCGACCCTCCAATGCTACTGCGCCTAAAAAGTCCGGAGAAAAGGACAGCTTTTCCTCCTGTGTTTTCGAAAGCCCCTGCGCGTGGGTTTGTGCCAAAGCAAACTGGGGTTTGAAAAGGGCCAACAGAGAGGAGCATACAAGAGCTGTTCAGGGGACTAGCAGTAATCAATAAGAGTATATACGACCTCCCTCCTTAAAAATGCTTCCCCGTTTTACTTGGCACGTTTACTAAGAAAATTGAATAAAGTGGAAATGTATGATTGTGATTGTGTAAGAAAAAGGTGAAATGAATGTGAACCACACAAATTGTCCAAAAATGGTAAGTGGAAAGAATTTTTTGGAACGACCCAAAAAGGAAAGTGAGAAGGATTTTAAGGGACGAAAGGAGTATATATAAAAGAGAAACTTTTTAAGAGCATACAAAGCGCCATATAATCCGACCATGTCATTATATATAACAATTATTTACTTATTTTTATACGTTTTGTTTTTATTAGATTCTATTTTTGATTGCATATTGATATGGAAACAAAAATCCTTATAAATCCACCTTAATTAATTTGGTAAGCTTCAAATAAGTAAAATAATTTTTGGTCATCAAAGTGAAATTCTAATAACGTTTATTGATATGGAAACTAATTTATATTAGTTTACTACACCGAATTAAATAAGAACAAATATGCAAATTAGTTTACTTATTAATTTGACACCTATTAATAAATTAATAAGCTTCAAATAAGTAAATAATTAAAAATGAAATTAAAAATTATAACCAACATAAAGTATATATATTTTCACAAGTAAATTGTTTAGCTTAGCCAAATAAGTAAATTTTTTTGGTTGTTTCTTTATTTTACATCTAAAATTCAAATATGCCTTCACTTATGAAATAGATTCCTAATCCAAATTAGAAAATCTTTATAGGTTTACAAATTCCTACTTTTATTTTAATAGAATGTTTTTAATTGGATTGATTTCAGTTCCAGATTAATCAGATCAGATCAAATTTTAATAATTATAACAATAAGTCACATAAAAAACAGACATCTAATAGAACATATTAATTCATACCAAATCAAACCCGAAATTCTAATTTAATTAAAAGCGTTCTTATTAATGAGTAAACTGTAAGATCTAACAATTAAGAAATATAATTTTTTTTATTATTGAGTTCATAACAATTATATTTACTTGAGATGCTTATGTAGAAGACCAATTTAACTTTTTTTTTCATATATTTTTTTCTTTGTTTCACAAATGGAATATATTTCACACATATTTTTAATGATTCAGAAGATTTCACCTATTTAACGAGAATTCAATCAATTTCAACAAAATAAATTAATTCTATTTATTTTAGTATTATTAAACAGACTCTATATTAGACTAAGTGATCAGATAAATTAAATTTCAAATTAACGAATGCTATAGTGCATTGAACGGGGTTGAAAGCCAGTACTACTTATTCTTTAAAGAAAAACAGTAAAGGGTTGTCGCAAGAAGGAAGCCAGCGAGAAAGAATGAGTAGTCCTTCACTGGGATTACTAAAGCTCTCTGGGTTGCCTCTTCCTCCAAATTTCTCCAAAATTGTTCATTCGTCCGTCAATCATGGCTCTCCTTTCACCACCTCCTCTCGGTTTCTTCCTTTTTACTCTGCTTCTTTCCCGGAAAGAAGATGGGCTGCCTCACCAAGGTCATCTACTAGGACACAGACGGTATACTTCTCGCCCCCTACTCGCTTTCACACTTACTTCATCCCTATCTTGGACGTAAAGATTGTATTTTTCTCTCTCTTACGTGTTCGTGTTTTGTGTTGATGGGTCTCCGGCTGTAATAGATCAGGTGAAGAATAAAAAATCTAGCTTTTTTTTATGTTGAGTTCGTGTAACCTAAAATTGGGTTGCTGTAAGAGACCTTTTATGCGTAAATTTCAATCTTTTTGAGGCACCCTTCTCCATTCATGTCAAATTCCAGGCAATTGGCAGTTAGTTAGCCTGATTACTATTGTGTACTTGATAAGAATGACATTTAACTAGATGAGGGATGCTGAATGTAAACGTTGCTAGTCATTGTTTGTTTCCTGTCCCTGTTGCATTTTGCTTTCTACTTTCTTGATGCTTTTACTACTACTACTACTACTAGTTCTAATAATAATAATAATAAATTTATAAAAAAGGGATTTAATCATTGACATATAAGTTGATAGCTTTTAATAACTACTAATAAGAAATAAATTCGTTAACATTATAATGGTTTCCTATAGACCTAAAGCAACCATTAATTTGGGACGACGGAGAATAACATTACATATGTTGGAAAGTCAGATGCCAGTGGAGGCTTGGTGCACTCATTGGAACGGGTGTTAACATGACAAAATGCATGGATGCCCATATGAAGGTTCGGCCCTTAGTAGGGTGTCAACCTCAAACAAGGGTGTGTACAAGTGCTTATTTGACAGTTTTGACCCTAAGAGTGCAAGAATGATCTGTGTAAGGGATGTTGAAAATGGCCCATAAGAATGGGATAATATCTGCCTATGGTGGATCAGGGTCAGTGGGCAAGTGTTCATATTATGGCTTTGTTGATTGTGTCTCAAAAATTGGTGAAGCTTTCAAAGTATCAAGTGATGAAAGTTACCATTTTCTCAGTGCATTTAACTATGGATTTTTTGGAACAATTTCTATGCGAACTGGGGCATATTTTTTCCGATACCATTTGAGGGGGAGTGCAAAGATTACATGTGTAAGAGTCATGCAGAAAATAATCAGGTATTTTTGGATTCAATAATATGCAAGGGGAAGGGGAAATGCAAAGAAAGATGATTGTTTTATGTTTGGTTTTTCTTTAGAAAATGTCAAAAGGAAAATGCAATGTGATGGTTTTTATTTAAATTTGCATAGATTTTGATTTTTAAATATTTATGTAAAATGACTGAAATCAATAAAAGAGTATCAAAGAATATTTTGAGTTCTTTTAACCTTTATTTTATTTCCCCCATATTTTCTTTACTTCGAGCTTTGTATCATGCTTTCTATCTTTTTTCTCTAGTATTTTCTGGATCCAAACACACACTTCGTATTTGGTTCTTCACAGGTACAACCTTGAGCTTATCTAATAGCATTTAAGTCATAGACTCATCATCTTTATGTCATAGAAACATAAGCTCTAACTAGTTTTAATCATCTTGGTCTGCATTTTCTTATCGTATATCTTCCATCCTACCAGTAGGCGGTAAGTCCTTCTCCACCCACCAGACCTTTGACCTTTTATTTCTTTAAGATTGTCCTGAATAGAGAATATAATATTTTGATGAGGAATCCATATTCCAACCTTTGCAAGAGCCTTTCTTCCTTGAAACTCATCAATTTGTATAATTCAAGCATCCAACAAATGCTAATCTTGTAGAGTTTTTTCTCTTCCAGAAGTACAAATGTGTATTATATTCAAGCTTGTAGTGATAGTTTATCAAATATCATTTGATTCTTTATCTAAAGTTTGGGTGCTTGCTTCTTTCAAAATTATATTGTATTTGATCTTCCATGCAAACGAGAACATGCTGGCTCCTCTGCGAATCCTCTCTTTATATATATATATATATGTGTGTGTGTGTGTGTGTGTGTGCGCGCATCTGGTGGTTTTCATAAATTATTTACTGCCAGGGGGCCTCTGTTTTCTATGTGCTGGTATAGTGGCTTCACGGAGATGAACAGAGACATAAAAAAAGTTGTGATGATCTAAGGAATGAAAATGAATGTGAAACAACTCAGATGTTTGGTTCAGATGAAGAAGCTGCCAGTCAAATTCCAACCCAAGCTCAATCTGTTGTTGAAGGATCACGAACAGTTCTGGTTGCAGAATACAAGCCTGTTCCTGATGTGGACTACTTGCAGGTATCTTGTCCTCTCATCCTAAATTTGCACTCCTTATATATATATATATATATATATATATATATATATATATATATATATATATATATATATATATATATATATATATATATATATATATATATATATATTATAAGCATTATTTGCAACCTTTTTATTTTATCATTTATATATATATATATATTCATCTTTTTTATATTATCTTTTCATAATAGCTTATCTTTTTATCTTTATTCCTTCTTTTCCTTTTGGTTGTGATATCATGTATCGATTCATGTTAGCCGACCCCAATATCTTTTGGGACTAAGGCTTGGATGTTGTTGTTGTTGTTGTTGTGGTAAAGAAGTTTTAACAAACACTGGTTGTCTAGCAGGAATTATTAGCAATTCAACAACAAGGCCCAAGAAATATTGGCTTTTTTGGAACACGAAATATGGCATTCATGCATCAAGAACTTGTTGAGATCCTTAGCTATGCCTTGGTTATAACGGTATTATGATGATCTTGATATTGTACTCTCAGTCCCAAAATGTAAGATACAATTGAGTCCTGCACATGTTTTAAGAAAATAAAGGAGATAGTTCTAAGAGGAAAAAACCCAAAAAGAAAAGACAGATAAGAAAGATAAAAACATAAGCTATGATAAAAAAGATAATATAAAAATAGATAAGATATACATAAAAATGATAGAATAGAAAGTTTTTTTTTTGCTTTTGTTCAAACTAGATATAACAACAGTAATGCAAGTAGTAGTTGTAAGTGTTGGTACATAGTGTCAGCCTATCAGGTAAAATAGAGGTGTTTACAAAATTACATAAACTTATCAAGAACAATCTTATAACAAACACAGCTCTTGTTATGTTTTGTTTTCGGAGGCAGGAGGGGGGCACCAGGTAAGGAATGATTGAATGAATACCATGAGTTCTTGGGGCTTTCAAGTATGATGGTGTCAAAATCCCTTTGCAAAAAAACCTCCATTCACTTTACCAGAAAACATTATGCAGCAGCAAATTTACCCGTTACCAACAACCACCAAGCTACTACAAAGAGTTCACCAGTGGATTGGATCGATCAGGCTGTCTTTTTACCACTGTCTGCAATCAACTCAGCCAGAGGGCAACCAAGCACGATCTTTTCCACCACAGGAGTTTCTGCCACTCTTCTCCGCCCCTCCTTCATCTTTTTGGCATAATCACGAGCAGAGACAATCACAACACAGTATCAAACCCAGGGATGTCGCCCACCAGCGTGTACAACAGTTTTCTACTGACCTTAAAGAACACCTTTAGCATCATCATCACATATCTGTTCCCGTCATAAAGGTCTGGAGGTCCGGTTGTGCATGATCCCAGTGGTTGTGGTTCACGATACCACCTCCCTCGATATGTTATCTGATCCATTGCTTGTTCTACACTCAGGACCTCCCACGGCCTTAGCCCGGGGATCAACTTAGCCAATTCAATCCTCAGATCCTTTGGGATGAATTTATTAGGCATGTGATCGTCATCTAATATTGATGTCAGTTCAGACCCACTTGCCCAAAGAAATAGTGCGTGACTTGGAATCCTTACACCAGGCCACACACCACCATTAGCTTCCATAACAGCTAAGTCACGGCTCTTGCTCTAGTAAGCTTCTTCTTGGAGCTGTTTATAAGTCTTCTTTTCGTTCCCCTTGAGAGGAACCCATGGAGGTATACCCTTCTGGAGCTTGTGGAGTAAGGTCGTGGCAGCTGCCCCTAGTCTAACTTTCCATGGAGCAATAGCACATTCCAAGCCATAAACCATGGAAATAGGTGCCCATTTGTCCATGTCCTCACCCCAAATGAAAGTATGCCTGTCAATGATTCCACCAGCCCATGCAGTCTTAAGCTGTATTAACTCCATGGGACCCCTAGACCGACCTAACCGGTCCTTATAAAACCATCCACCAGTCTTCATTATAAAATCATAATACCGCTTTTCAAGCCGCTTATACCCAATTGCCTGGGCAGCAGCAATGGGCCTTCCAGGTGGATATGGCCTTTGTCGGAACCCCCATAGCCCAAAAATGAATTGCTGCGTGAAATCCCAAAACTTATCATCTGACTCTTCTTTAGTCTTTATTGATCTCCTAGGCATAGGCTTTCCATCCAATCCAATCACATTATGGAGTGCCTGCCACAATTTCTTGTCTTCTTTCTTATAAGTAGCTAAATTCTCTTTAAGCGCATCTTCATTAAGCTTATCTCTAATCTCTTCAGTGCGGGCCAAGAACTGCACAAATGGGCTTTCCTTAAATTCAGCTAACCACTTCTCGTTCTCCTCAATCTCCCCTTCGCTCGGGTTCTCCTTCTCGACAATCGGGCCTTCGTTAAGAATCTTCTCTACTTCTGGCGAGTGCCGGTAGTCTGGCAGGTTCTCGCACTCCCAGCAGAACTGGTCAAGCATCCGACGGTACTTCCCTGGAGGATGGTCCTTGGGCTTTCCAGAAAAAAAACGGGAATGAGATAGCGGAAAAAGAATATATATATATATATATATATAAAAGGATAAAAAAGCATAAGAAAGAAAAAAAGATGAGGGGAAAAAGATGATAAGAGATCACTCCTTCACTTTGCTCTATCTAAAGTCATACTCTCATAGTCTCATCCATCCTGAAGAAGCATATCGCTCTTGACTCCTCTCATCCACGTATGTTTGGGTCTTCCTCTCCCTCTCTTCCCTGCCTCTTCTCTACACCTTTCAACTCGTCTAATAGGTGTATCACTCGGTCTTCTGCGCACATGACTAAACCACCGCAAGCGAGACTCCCACATCTTATCTTTAATAGGTGCTACTCCCACCTTTTGGCCGATTACCTCTGCTACACGCGTTGCAGCTTGAGTCACAAAAAATAGAAAGTGAAGTGATAGACAAAAGGATAATATGGAAAATAAAAAGTTGGTGTAGCTCAAATTATGAAAATGTTCAAAATTTGTGGACAGAAATAAGGTGTGTCTAACAAAGAGGAATAGAGGAAGTACCTTTTTGTGGTTTCTAGAATTTTCTTATTTTATACCGTAGTATTTTAATTTCTGGTCATGAAAATTTGTTGATATTCTTTCATTTTCTTTTCCAGAAAAACCATATTTTTACATCTGGTGCATCAGGGACAAACGCTGCAGTAATTAGAGGTGCCCTTCGTGCTGAGAAACCAGAACTGCTGACTGTTATATTGCCGCAAAGCCTCAGTAGGCAGCCTCCTGAAAGCCAAGAGTTGCTGTCTAAAGTAAGAACTAGGTCTCTTAATTTCCTTCCATTTTTATTGTAAACATGGCCGAGTCTGCAGCCTATGTGAAAAATGTTGTAAAAACAAGTTCTTTGCATTGTCTTTTCTTGTACAGCTTCCAATGTGCAAAGTATGGTCTACTTAAGACCATTTTGAACTAACAAGGTTGTATTATAGAACCCATTCACAAGAGTATTCTTTAGTTTAAAGGCTTTACTTACTAATGGGTTTGAACATATAAGAAAGTTATTTTGTCTTATTCCAGAATAAAATATCCAAAAGAGAGGGAATCTGAAGGTTATATCTAATGAAGTTATTCTTGGCTTTTCAGGTGAAAAATGTTATAGAGAAACCTTACAATGACCATCTCGCGTTGATAGAAGCTGGCAGGTAATTAATAGTCTCCCTTTGTTTGTATACTTTTTGCTTGATCTAATATACTGTTTTATGGTTTATTGTTTAGATCTCTTTTTGCTTAATCTGATGTGCTGTTTTATGCTTATTGTTTAGAATTTGTTTCAAATGCTAAATGGTGCTATTTTGCTGATTTAGCATTATTAGTTATAAGCATGGTTGTTGATGGCGGAGAATGGCGTGTGCGTCATGTGGCGCGCAATTTATCCCTGCGCCATGTAAAGTGGGCGTGGCGATACCTATACCAGTGGCGAGGCCATTTGGGCGCCATCGCCATTTGGGTGCCATCGCCATGATGACAGGCTACTCTCTCTGCGTCCCAGTCGAATCATCTGGATCGAAGCATCTGAAATCCATGGGAAACGTTCAGAAATGTTATGCGTCACCTTCGAATCCCCTGTTCTCTGCAATTCAATTCTTCCCGGCGACCTCCATAGGGCATCAACCTCAAGTCACGACTCGCCAGCGACGGGCTACTCTCTCTGCGTCGAATCCCCAGTTGTTTGTTCCCTTCCTGACCACGACCTTCATATTGTTATTATTCTATTTTATTGATTATTTAAAGTAAACTAATAAATAGCTTAACTTATTATTAATAGAATATATACGATTAATTCAATTTTTTTATATGAATATTCTGAATTATCTGGTATGCATTATAATACAATTTATTTTTATTATTAATTCAACATAAAGTTACCTTTGAATATTCTGTTTATTACATATATACACAATTTATTACATATTATACACTCCGTATGTACACAATTTATTACATATATACACAATTTATTACATATTATAAAGTTACCTTTGAATATAGATTACTTAGTTGTTTACTTATATTATAAATAAGTAAAATAACTTAGCTTTTTTATTCTGTTTAATTGATTACATAAGCTATTTTACTATTAATAGATCGTTGTAAGTTATTAAGTACCTAATTATATACATACACATATGTTGTAGGAATACACACAAACACACAGGATCTTACTATCCGAGTTACGATCCTTAATTCGACTTTCAATCCTACATAGGATATTTAAATACACGTGTTTTGGTTAGAATATTGTTATTCAACTTGTTTTATCATATTTTGGTGGTTGGGTAATACAATTATATAGTGTCTATAATTCGTTTTTTAGTTTTTCCTCTTTTTTTTGGTCACGTGGTGACGCCATATTTGCGCCATTGCCATGGGAAAATGCCTGTGCGCCATCGGCGTCGCCATGCACCATGGCAACTATGGTTTTAAGATGACTCATCAAGTTGTTTATGGACTTGTATGCAGGCTATGTAACCTGGACATCATCTCACAAGTACAGCAAGTCATTTGCTTTGCCTTTCATGATAGCAGATTGCTCATGGAAACTTGTCAAGAAGCTAAAGAAATGAGGAAAATTGTCTCTCTCTTTTATCTGGACTAGTGTCTAGTGCACAAGAATGATCAATTTTATGTAGAAGAAAATCGTTACTTGTTCTTTTGTAGATCAAGTTTTAAGTGAAAACAAAAACACTTGCTATCTGTATGGACAGATTTAGATAGAATAGGAATGTGGCCCAAATTGTGCCACACAGATTTTAGAAAATTGAATATATTTGTTTATGCTTGAAAGGGAAGTTTATGTTTATTAGTTTATGATGTATTGTATTAGCTATTTCTTGTGCAAATGGAATGTCAATATTCACTTTGTTTTTTCCCTTGTTCTTTTTACTTGGGAATTGGGAAACAATCCAAATCCATTTTTTAATTCAAACTTGACCTTTAGTGGGAAATTACATGGAACCATACATGACTTCAAGAATCATATGGACCTATCTTGTTCCATCATTACCAGTCTTTAATAATGAAGTCTTTTGCTACAAAAATAAATTATTATGAAGTAATATAAGTTCATATTACATTTTTTTTTTTGGACTTTTGCGCAACGTTACTCCTAGGGTTGGACTCGGGCCGGGTTGGACTCGGGCCGGGTCGGGCCGGCGGTTCTATAAAGATGGACCCGGGACTGGCCCGGGTAGCCACCGGGTCCGGTCCGGGCCGGGCCGGGCCTCGGGTTTGGTTAATTTTTTTTTTTTGCTTAGCTACCCATCCCTGACCCCCCCCCTCACCCCACCCCCCAAACCCCTCCTAAACATCAAGCCCAACCCGGTGAAGCCCAAACAAATGAAAAAAACCAAAAATAAATAAATTTGGCCCGAACCGGGCCCGGCCTTGTTATGGGTGACCCGAGCCCGGACCGGAAACCCACCGGGTCGGGCCTACCCGGACCGGTCACTGACCGGGCCACCGGTTCAGGCCGGGCCGGAACAGTACCGGTCCCGGGCCGGTTCCGGGTCGGGCCACCCGGCCCGAGTCCAACCCTAGTTACTCCTAAATTTGATTGTTTACCAAATACTACCTACAATGTTTTGAAATTATAGGTATGATTGTTCATACCTACATCGTCTCATTAATATTTCCTATTTTAATTTTGCACATATATTAAAATTGCAAGGTAACATTAGTTGACAATTGTCTTCAAAAGAGACAATACAACTTACTCCGTATTTTGAGAGAAAGGAGTAATATTACTTTTATTACCGGTATAAAATAAGGGTTCTTTTGATAAGAAATATTGAATGTATTGATTTTTTCAAACAAAAAGTGCACGGTAACATTAGTTTAAAGTGACTTTAAATCACATTATTTGTCAATCAAGTAAGGCAATCACCAATCCCCCAGGGGTGGATTCGGTTCGGGCCACCCGGCCCGTGACCCGGCCCGGCCCGCTACTGTGCGGGCCCGGGACCGGCCCGGTCTGGCGGTCCGGGACCGGGTGTAGACCCGAACCGGTGGGGATGGGCGGAGCGGGCTCGGTTCTGGAAATAGTTGACCCAGCCCGGCCGGGTCGGGCCAGGGTCCGGGTCCAACGGTCACTTTTAAAAAAAATTGTTTTGGGCCAAAACAGCCGTTGAGGGGGGTGGGGGGGTGGGGGGGGGGGTTGGGACAACCCAAACGGCTATATAGCCGTTGGGTGGGCTGCAGGGAGGGGGGTCCGGGGGGTTTGGGGGGTGGGGGTGAGGTAAAGAAATCTATAAATACTCCTAATCTAAAACATTTTTTCATATCTCTTCTCCAATTCTTCCTAAACCCTATTCTTAACTCTCTACTCTCTAATTCTCTTATTCTCCAATATATTATATTTATTATTTATATATCTACTTTATATTAATTATCTACTTATAATTTATAAATACATATATTATAATATTATATTACTTATATTTGTTATCTAATTAGATATTACTTATACATTTATTATATCTATTAATATAGTTGGAATTATATCTAATTAATTTGAAGTCATTCTATTACTCCCATCCGAAAGACCAAAAGTCCGAAAGAGGTACGAAATCATTCTTTTATTTACACTTGTTTAATTTTGTATTAACGTTACTTGAAGAAAAAAAACTAGTTAATTCTCATAATAGTTAAAGTTAAATTATAATAATTTGATTGTTAGTAAAAAAAATAGGTTGTACAAAAAACTAGTGGTTAATCTCGCCGGTGCTTTTTCAAATTTTGAGAATGCTGATTATGTGAGTTATTTTGCTAGTTTTGTGAAGGAAAAGTTTTTAAAATATTATTCACATATTCCGCATATTTATGGTATTGCATTTGTTCTCGATCCTCGTTTTAGACTTGGTTCTTTAGAAGAATGTTTGAATTATTATTATGCTGCTTTTTTTGGTCCATTGCCAATGTATGAGGACAACCCAATTGATCCGAAAAAAAATACGGCGAGGTTAGTGATATATTTTATGCATTATTTAATGAGTTTCATGCACAATATGACAATGCGCCCCCTCCCCCGACACAAACATCATCTAAAGGAAAATCAATTTTCAAATCTACATTTGCCAATCTTATTAAAAAAACGAAATCAACTCCCGCTACGCAACAAAGCACAATTAATGAGATTTCTTTGTATTTAACATATGATGTTGATTTTGAAGAAGAAGATGATTTTGACGTACTAAACTGGTGGAAGGGAAAAGAAAGAATGTTCCCGGTTTGAGCAAAGATGGCTAAGCAAGTGCTATCAATGCCGGTTTCAACGGTTGCCGTGGAACAAGAATTTAGTTCGGCCGGCAATGTCCTAACGCAATGTAGAACGAGGTTGAGCGCAGAATCTCTTGAGATGCTTTTATGCTACCATGATTGGTTGAAAGTGGCCCGTAGAGCTCAAGAAATTGACATCACCCCATCCCAACACTTTATGGATGAATCTACAACCGAGGGTGACTCTACCTATGCCGGAGATTCCGATTGAATGATTGATTAGTATTTAATGTTTTAATTTTACCTTCAATTCTCAATTGTAACTTGTAAACTTGTAGTTCATATTTCAAATAAATATACGTTCATTTTTTTATATGTAGCATTTTTTTTGAATCCATAAAATTAATTAATTAATTTTACATTATGTTCAAAATAAAACATACAAAAAAAATTTGAAAACAAAATTCAAAAGCCCCAAACGGCTCTATTGAAATTTGAATCAATAGAGGCATAGAGCCGTTGGGGGTGGGGGGTGGGGGTGGGGGTGGGTGGGGGGTGGGGATACAAAAAATTCTATAAATACTCTTATTTTCTAACATTTTTATTAGGGATGGACTCGGGCCGGGCCAACCGGCCCAGAACCGGACCGGCCCGCTACTGTGCGGGCCTGGACCGGCCCGGTGAACCGGTTGGTGCCCGGTTCGGGCCACCCGACCCGGTGTGATAGCGGTTCAGTCCCGAGCCTGCATTTTAGTGAACCGGCCTGGCCGGTCCGGGCCGCAACAATCATATTTAATTTTTTTTTAAATAGTTAAAGGCTCTATAGCCGTTGGGAGAGCTCCCAAACGGCTCTATAGCCGTTGGAAGCATAGGAGGGGGGGGGGGGGGGGGGTCTGGGGGTTAGGGGGGGTGGGGTGGGGTATACAAAAAAACCTATTTATACTCCTATTTTTTATACATTTTTTACACCTCTTCTTCTACAACTCTTAGTACTCTCTAAATTCTCTATTCTCTATTCTCTCAATCTCTCATATTCAATCATCTTCATTCTTCATCTTCTCCAAATTCTTTCTACATATATATAATTTATATAATTATTATATCTACTTATATATTAATTATCTACTTATAAATATATACTTATACACATTCAATTTATAATTCTTTACACATTATATTATATATACTATATATAGTTATACATTATATTATATATTACTTATAATATATTTACACATTCATATTAATATTAGTTAAAGTAGTTAATTGTTTCATTTGTCATATTAATATTAGTTAAAGTAGTTAATATAGTTATACATTATATTATATATTACTTATAGTATATTTACACATTATATTATATATACTATATATAGTTAGACACTTATACATTCATATATAGTTTCATTTGTCATATTAACATTAGTTAAAGTAGTTAATTGTTTCATTTGTCATAGTAATATTAGTTAAAGTAGTTAATTGTTTCATTTGTCGTATTAATATTAGTTAAAGTAGTTAAAGTTAATTGTTTCATTTGTCATATTAATATTAGTTAAACTACTAAATTGTTACATTTCTCATATTAATATTAGTTAATTGCTACATTGCTCAATAAAGTAAAAAAAAAGTAGTTAATTTTTACATTTCTCATATTAGTTAATTGCTACATTTCTCATTAAAGTTAAAAAAAGTAGTTAATTTTTACATTTCTCATATTAGTTAATTGCTACTTTTCTCATTAAAGTAAAAAAAAGTAGTTAATTTTTACATTTCTCATATTACTTAATGCTACATTTCTCATTAAAGTAAAAAAAAGTAGTTAATTTTTACATTTCTCATATTAGTTAATTGCTACATTTCTCATTAAAGTAAAAAAAAGTAGTTAATTTTTACATTTCTCATACTCCCTCCGGTTCTTATTAAAGTTCACACTTTCCTTTTTGGGATGTCCCTTATTTAAGTTCACACTTCCATTTTAGGAAACAAAACAGTGCAAAACAGTGCCAAATAGTGTCAAACAGTGTCCAAACAGTGCCAAATAGTGCCAAACAGTGCACTCCACAGTAAAGTCAAATTCATTTTCTTAATATGTGTGAAGTCAAACTAAGAACTTAAATAAGAACCGGAGGAAGTATTAGTTAATTGCTACATTTCTCATTAAAGTAAAAAAAAGTAGTTAATTTTTACATTTCTCATACTTCCTCCGGTTCTTATTTAAGTTCTTAGTTTGACTTCACACATATTAAGAAAATGAATTTGACTTTACTGTGGAGTGCACTGTTTGGCACTGTTTGGCACTGTTTGGACACTGTTTGACACTATTTGGCACTGTTTTGCACTGTTTTGTTTCCTAAAATGGAAGTGTGAACTTAAATAAGGGACATCCCAAAAAGGAAAGTGGGAACTTTAATAAGAACCAGAGGGAGTATTAGTTAATTGCTACATTTCTCATTAAAGTAAAAATAGTAATTAATTTTTACATTTCTCATATTAGTTAATTGCTACATTTCTCATTAAAGTAAAAATAGTAGTTAAATATTGTACTCATATAAAATATTTGATATCATTTAATATTTGTTCAATTTTAAAGATGGAGCGTGGTAGACATTCTGTAGATGTGGGTAATCTTCAACGCAACCGCAAGAGGGAGATTGCATTGACTCGATCTACTTCACGCAAAGGCAAAGATAAAGCGCGGGCCGAGTCTTATTTTCAAAGTCGAGATGATTTTGAAACAGATTAACAACGGCGAGATGATATGATGATGTCCGTCGAGCAACTACAACACCTATTGTCCCAAAATGATCCACGCTTTGCACAAGAACAACAATTCCCGACAATCATTGATGAAGAGGAGCTCGAGGATGACGATGCGGAGGAGGACGCGGGGGGCGACGGGACTCACGGCACCCCGGATGATGAGCAAGAGTTGGAGGACGAGGGCCGTTCAACGACTTCAACCCAAATTGGTAAGAAATCTAAATCTCCTATTATTGAAAACAATTATACAAAAAGGAAAGACGAAAATACCGAAAAATGGTACGCACGTTGCAATCATTGCAACAAAGAGTTTAGCTTGGGAACTTCTGGCGGATACGGGAGTCTCCAAAGGCATCTTAAGTCCGCCCACTTTGTGGAGTATGCGAAAATAGACAAAGGCAAGGGGAAGCAAACACAAATATCGAGGTTTGCAAATTCTCAACCCTTTGGTAATTTCTCCTATGATGATAAAAAACATTTGACTGGTATGTCTCATTTAATTGTTGAAGAAAATTTACCCTATATTTTTTCCGAAAGTCTTGCTTTAAGAGATTATGCTCAAGGTACTTTAAATCCTCAATTTAGAAATTATAGTCGCAAAGCGATTAAAAAGAAGTTATAAAGCAATATAACTTGGAAAAAGAAAAATTACAAATATTTTTCGCAAACTTTGATGGACGTGTTAGTATTTGTAGCGATATATGGGAGGATACTTATCATCATTTATATTATTTGGGTCTTACTGCACATTATATTGATGATGATTGGAATATGCTTAAACGTGTTCTTGCTTTTCGTGAATTCAATGATCGTCACACCGTTGATAATATTTATATTCTCATTGAACGTATTTTATTTGAGTATAATTTGATTGATAAGGTGTTTGCTGTAGGTTTTGATAATGCTAGTAATAATACTGCTGCTATACCTAGATTACGTGAATTGTGTGGTGCTTCTACATTGATGGGTAGGTTTTTTCATCAACGTTGTGCATGTCATATTCTAAATTTGTGTGTACAAGATGGCTTAGCGGCATTAGGAAATGCTTTGGAGGTAGTGAAGGGGAGAATTAAATTGATTTGGGCTAGCACTCCACTAAAAATGCAATGACGACAATATTTGAAGGATAGACGTGTCAATTATTTTGCTTTTCCTAAAGATTTGTCTATTCGTTGGAATAGTACTTATAATTTAATTCAAGTACTTATTAGATATAAAGATCATTTTCCTGCTTTTTTAAGACAAACTTGTAACTATATTATAAACCTGGCTGACATCGACACTTGTGAAAAAATTGTTAATGTTTTGGCATATTTTAATAACGCAACTCAAACTTTTAGTCATGTTTATAAACCTACCGCAAACGAATTTTTTGTTGAAGCTGTTAATTTGCCGGCGCTTTTTGTGAATTTTCCGAAGCCACTTACGTTAGTTATTTTTGTGATTTCATGAAACAAAAGTTTTTAAAATATTATTCACATATTCCGTATATATATGGTATTGCATTTGTTCTTGATCCTCGTTATAAACTTGCTTACTTGGCAAATTGTATAGATTACTATTATGCTTCTTTTTTTTCCAACTCAAGAGTTCGATGATAATCCCATCGACCCTAAATAAGAATACAACGAGGTTAGTAATTTATTTCATCAATTGTATAATGAATTTCATGCACAATATGGTAATGCACCTCCTCCCATGCAACGAACATCTTCTTCATCTAAAGGAAAATCACTTTTAAAATCCGCTTTTGGTTCTCTTTTGAAAAAAAGTAGAGCAACTCCCGCTATTGAACAAAGCTCAGGTAACGAGCTTTCTTTGTATCTAACATTGAATGTTGATTATGAAGTTGGTGATGACTTTGACGTTCTTAAGTGGTGGAAGGAAAATGAAAGAACGTTCTCGATTTTATCAAAGATGGCTAAGCAAGTGCTAGCAATGCCGATATCAACCGTTGCCGTGGAACAAGAATTTAGTGCTGCCGACAACGTCCTAACCGATTATAGAACGAGGTTGAGCCCGAGCTCTCTTGAGACGCTAGTTTGCTTTCACGATTGGTTGAAGGTCCAACGAAGAACTCAAGAAATTACCATCGCTCCCACCCGCCACTTTATGGAGGAAACAACCGAAGGCGGAGATTCCGATTGATTTTTTATTACAAAATGTATTACATTTTTTAAATTCATCATAATTCTCAATTGTACTTTTTATTTGAAATAAATATACTTGAATTAGAATATAATATATTGTAATAAGAATTATTCTAATAATATAATATATAGTAATAAAAAAAAATTAAAAGGCCTGGCCCGTGAACCGGGCGGGTGACCCGAACCGAACCAGACCCGGGGTTATCCGGGCCGGTTATGGGCATCCCATCCGTGAACCGAGGCCCGACCGGTTCAAGGCTCGAACCACTAATTTTTATACACATCTTCTCCAACATCCAATCTCTAATCTCCATTCTCCAATCTCCATCTTCATCTCCATCTATTGTAGAATTATTGTATCTACCATTTTTAAGATGGAAAGTCAAGATGCCGTTATACGGTATAATTTTGATAAGCAGAAGGACCCGAAGACCGGAATGTGATACTCAACTTGCAAATGGTGCGGGGAAAAATGTAGCATGGGGGTTTCAGGCGGATACGGGATGACAATGAAGCATATTAAGTCATGTGACAAAGCCAAAGGATCGGGAGGTGCAGGAAGTTCCGATGGATTACAATTTACAAAATGTATGTCTCTTAAAGTTTGTTTTAATTTTCAAATGTAGTTCCTATTTCATTTCAAATAAATGCACTTGAAGTTTGTTTTTAATACTTGTATAAAACTATAAAGTATAAATTATAAAAAAAATACTTTAACCGGCCCGGCCCGGCGGGTGGCCCGACCCGTGACCCAGGCGGGTGGCCCGGCCCGAACCGAACCCGTCCAACCCTTGGGCCGGTCCCGGGGTCCATGTGATACAAACCGGCGGCCCGACCGAGCCTAGGCCTGGCCCGGGCCCGACCCGAGCCAGACCCGGCCCGAGTCCACCTCTACAATCCCCACATCTATACAATAAGCCAATTAATAGCTACCAATGGAGTTCAGTAATACAACATGACCAAACGATTGGGCAAGAGGAATGTGGGTTAGGGACACGAGACTACGAGAGATGTATAAGAATGATATCATTTCTTTTGGTATCGTAGCTGCTGAAAATAGTTTAGAAAAGAATCATTAACATTAGGGGTGGACTCAGGTCCGGGCCGGGTTCGGGGCGGGCCGACGGTTCAAGAATGATGGACCCGGGACCGGCCCGGGTAGCCACCGGGTCCGGTCCGGGCCTCCGGTTTGGTTTTTTTTTTTTTTTTTGCTTTCCTAACCCCCCCCCTCACCCCCACCCTCCCAAACACCCCCAAACCCATCCTACCCATCAAGCCCAACCCGGGTGGAAGTTGTGGAACCCCAAAAATGAAAAAAAAAATAAAAAAAAATCAATTTGGCCCGGGCCCGGGCCCGACCTGGCCGGTTCACCAAAATTGAGACCCGAGCCCGGACCCGCCCTACCCCCCGGGCCTAGGCCCGACCCGGACCCGGACCCGAGAACCAGGCCGGTCTCGGTCCCGCACAGTAACGGGTCGGGCCGGTCCACGGGCCGGGTGGCCCGACCCGAGTCCAAGCCTAATTAACATGCTTCTAAGTTCTAAATAGACTAGTTTTAGTCTCACACGAGATCAAATTATATCAAATCATACCGACTTAAACATATCAAAAACATATTAGACCTAGATAATAATAAAATATACATGTGCCAAACTAAAGCACACTATGTTTACTAAAGAATAAAGATTCCTCATACTCTTTATTTCTCCTCTTTGATAGCACTTTTATCATTCCACTCATGTGTCAATTCATGCCCTCAACCCCCATAACAGAGCGGGCCGTTCCAGCTCGGCTCCAATTTTGGAACCAGTTCATTCACAATTCCACTCTCTAGCCACTCTCTAGGATTCGTACGGTACCTAATATACTGGTGGATCGGTTCTGAATTTCCAGTTGGTCCCATTACTTTTTTTGTAGTCTTACAAATATTACACACAGTAACTTATACGGAGTATTTGTAGAAACAGTCCCGAGTTTGGACGGACAATAAAGAATATACAGAGTATTATACTCCGTATATATATATTTTATTCTACCCGAAACAAGATATATTTTCAGTATTACATTATGGATATTTTAAACCATTTGCACAAATGCATACAACTCTAATATTCAGTCCGTCCCGGAAGCAGATAAAGAGTGAGATTATGCTGTACAAATCTGATACAGTCCCAAGTATCCATTGTAACGAAAATATCATACAAATGAACACACACGGATATGCGTTAAGTTAGTGAGAGTTGCTTCAAGGTCAAGAATGGTTTCAAGAACGCCAAGGATTGCTTCACCTCAAGCAGGTAATGGTTCCTCCATAACTGCAGAGTTTTAGAAGATGAGGACACAGAGATTCATTTCAAGAAATTCTCAATCCAGTGTGTGTGTGTGTGTGTGTGTGAGAGAGAGAGAGAGAGAGAGAGAGAGAGAGAGACCTTTCTTTGTGGGAACCACAGTTGCACCCTCTGACTTAGAAATGACTGGGGCTTTGTCTGGTACATCAGGAAGATCCAAGTTCTCTTCTTTCTCATCAGATGGTAATGGAACAGGAACACTGGGCAGATCTTGATCAATCATCTATATGAAAATGAATAAAGATAAAAAACTTTAACACTTCATCATTAACAAGAAACAATATGGAATGGAACACTAGTGCCTCTAAAAAGATCAAAACACCCAAATTAAAAATGAGCAGGATGCACATAAGAACATGCCCTCGGTTCATAGATCAACATGACACTATTGATTTGTTCATTGCCTAGAGTAATGGAAAGAACATGACTATGAAGGCCAAATTCTCAGCATTTTAACATATGCATTATGCCATATTGCCATATGCCACTTTGATGTATTTGTGTGTGCGCGTGTCATGAATACTTAAAATCTATTAAAATAGGGAACATATGGGGAGAAAATGGGGTTAGGGAAAGGGCTTGATTGAAAAAATGTCAATTCGGTTTTTACGATTAAACAATCAATTTTTTTAAAGGCATTTTCATCGTCTCATTCTCTTTCCGTAACCCAGTCTGTACACCTAGCTTTTCTCATGAAAAGATGTTGACCCCATACATCAGCTGCATGTCTACATTTCCCAAGCTTTGGCCCACACATCTAAACTTTTGGGCTCAGCCGCAGACAAAGTGATGTTTGTTGACATCTTTATAGGGAGAAAGTAAATGACATGCACAAGACCAATGGCATATCATAATGTATCTTGGCTACCACTATATCATCAAATTAATTAATTTAGAAAATGAAGAAATGAAATAATGTATATTGGCTACTAGCATATCATACAGTTAATTTAGCAGGTCAAAATGTGGAATTAAAAAAAAAGTAGAAATACATCCATTCATTCCTAGTATAAACAAAAAATGTGCAGGTCAAGTACCAACTCTCAGCCTAGAAAGTAAACAAACCTGAGACTCTAGACTCTCGAACTCTGCTAGAATTTCTTCTTCATCTTCTGCTGATAGCTTCTCCCCTAAGATTGCATTGATTTCCTGCAAAAAAACAAGGAAACTATTACTGTAAGGGAAAGGATTCGAAGTTCAAACTACACAAAATAGATACAGCCTACAAGAACATATCCAAGCACCTGTGAGAATGTAAGAGAAGCAACATAAACTTGGCTAGTCTATCAAATATAAACGTGAGGTCATGAGGTCAGGGAAATGATAGGAGAACTGAGGAAATGAAATGAAGAGGTGGTGCTTTGTAGCATACTAGCATGGTATGCAAAAATGTTAGGAAAGGTAATATGAAGCGAGCCGGTAATACAAGGGGAGGATGTATTTTGGGGTATGAGGGTCCCCCAACTCAACCAAAAAGCAAAAACTATCCTATGCGAAAATTCGAAAACAGAATTTTTTTTAACCCAAGTTCAATGAAAAAACACTTAACCTTGATTGTTTGGCCAGTTTCATTAGTAAGGATGTTTTTTCAAATGTTCCGGATGATGTCATAGACTACTTCCAAAAAAAACATGTCAATGTCGGTTGTAAAGTTGCAATCAAGTTTATTTGAATGTTAAGGATTTTGGATTTAATTTGCATACTTTAGGTTGTATGACTTAAAATATTAAACCGTGTTTGTATCTATATGTCTCTATAGTCTATGTTACCCCTATATTCAAAATTACGGATCCATCACTGAGTAGTAGATTCACATATCTAATAGCTATAACTTCTTAACAGAACAAGGCAATTAAGTGGAAGGCATCATATGGCAAGAAGTTTTGAAAAATATAATACTCCACCCGTCTGGACTCTGGACATGTATGATATATTTGGGTTTGAGACAAGTTTTAAGAAGAAAAAAAAGAGAGTTTTTATTTTACAAATGCTCTTTTAAAAGGATGAAAATAGTTAGGATGCACTAAAAGAGAAAAGTGAGAGGATAGACATGCCGACAAAGTCGGAAAGTATAGAGTAGTAGAGTTTAAACTAAGAAAATTTTCATATTTTGGGACAGACAATAAAAGATAGTATATCTTACTATATGATAAATGAGGTAATAATGAGACAGCTTACATCTTGATAAGCTTTAGCCTCAGCAGTATCATCCATTAGTTTTTGGACATCTTCCAGATTGACCTCACTTTGTATTGCTTTAATTGCATTGTTGCCTGCTTTTAAACTCTCAAACACAGCCTTCTGCTTGCTTGATAATTCAATATCTGCCAACTGAGCCAAACAAATACTTTCATTCACATATCTCAATAAACTGTAGGCAGAGAAAATAGTTGGGTCCAATGAAATTCGAGTGTAATTAGTAATTACTTGCTGTTCAACATTTATCAACCAAGCATCAACTTGCTTCAATAATTCCTCTTGTGTCTTCTTCTTTTTCAATGCTAACAGGGCCCTATCCTTCTTCTTTTCGCGAAGCAAGTCCTTCGCAGCCTGCTTTTCAGCTTCAATAACTTTCTCCAGCTAGAAGCAACAAATAACAGAAGAAAAAAATCAGGTTTGGTTCTGGGTACTTTTATGAACTTTAATTATTTCCTTAAGCTTGAATTCCACTCCAAATGATGACTTAGACGTAATCCAAGACTTTATAGGTTGGTTTATGTGATTGTAACTTCATATTTGGATAATGTAGGATGGTCGCAACAAGAGGATGGCTCATTAGAACTAATCTAATCTCTGTCTTAGTTTTTAAATATTAGTAGGGCAGTTCGCTAATAAGAATTAATATGTTGATCAATGATCTTAGAACGATCTACATCCAGATTTTAGAAATGCCGCAGGAAAGCAAATCACTGGAAATTATATATTCAATGAAGAAAAAGGTTAATTTCAAGTCATCAAAAGTTTATCTTTAATCTTCAAGACGGAAATATTTAACCAATTGTAATAGCGATTCTTATTCTATAGAATACAAATTGAAAGTATACCTGCTGCTGATACTGAGCGAGCTTGCGCCTTTGGGTCTTGAGAGAAAGGATTGCTTTGTCAACTTCTGTGATCTTGGGTTTCTTCACGAATATATTACCCATTCTTGAAATTAAAAAAAGAAAAATTAACACAAAACGTTATACTTTATAGATGTACCGCTTCAGTATATGAAACCCCCTTACAAAAATCTCCGGTGGCTACCGCTCTCCCCGACTCCCCGTTGGTAAGGCGATCTGTGAAGGGTGTGAAATTGAGGGAAGGAAGGCGAAGGCAACAAGCTCAAGGATAATTTGGTAATTGAATCATTTTTAAAATTGAGAAAATGTTTAATATTCCCTCCGTATTTAAAATTCATTTTTTCGTAAGTTCTTCTATAAAAATATCTGACTGTTCTTATTTTTTATACTTTTATCTTCTTTTTCATATTTTTTCATTTTTTTCTCCTATCTTTTTACCCTATTCATTACTCCTACTATTTTCACATTAAATATTGTGCCAAGACGTAATGTAGTGATCTTTTAAATACGAAAGTAGTATTATATTATGCTAATTATGGTAAAATACCCTTTAGAGCATCAGAAAATATGAACAATGCATACATTGTATGAAACAAATAAACGTATAGAATACAATTTATAAGTTGAATATTTCTCTCTTTATTTGAATGCCCTTATGTGTTTTTGATAAGTTTTCTTCACAATGAGTATAATGTCTAGTTGTAGACATTATTGAGAAAACCTTACTAAAAATATATATAACCGGGAAATGAAGGAGAGAAAAATGTCTCAAACTTAATTCTTTATATGTCAATCTCTCTTATTATACATATGTACTGTGCACATTGCGTTTTTATATGTATATTTTGGCACAATCAACTTCAAAAAATGATTTGTCTGCCTTTCCGATCGAATTTTAAGCTGATTTTTGTGTGGATAAACTAGACTTGATGAGGAACATGCTCAAAAAAATTCTTCAAAAAATTCCATCGGGTACCACACCAAAAGGCGGTGTTCAGACGGGGGAGTGCTCGACCGATATACATATATATATATATATATATATATATATATATATATATATATATATATATATATATATATATATATATATATATATATATAGGAAAATGTTTTCCTAATGTAGACCTAAAACTAATAATTTTAGGCCTCTTTCATATGAGGTCCTTCCGAGTTGATATTTTTGATAAAATTTTGTGAGCATGTTCTCAATTAAGGGTGGACCATGTCTACCAAATTTCAGTTTAAAATTCAATCGAGAATTCAGATAAATAAATTATTGAAAATTGTGCAGTTATATATATATATATATATATATATATATATATATATATATATATATATAATGCAGTTTGTTCAATAATTTATTTAATGGACTTATCTTTTAAATTTTAATTTGAAATTTGGTGGAGGTAATGTACACTTCATGGAGAACATGCTCACAAAATTTCAAAAAAAATATTCGATCTGAAAGCACCTCAAATGAAAGAGACCTAAAACAAGTTTCAGCCAAGCTGATTGTGAGATTACCGTGCCTAGTGAGAGGTCTCGAGTTCGAAACCCGCTAGGCACATAAGGGTTTGAAACTCAATGAAGTGAGTTTCAGCCTTGATTACTACAGGCCCCCCATGCCCCCAGGCCCCCTCCCCCAGACACCCCCTGGAGTAAAAAAAGAATAGGAGAACACTCTTATATATATATATATATATATATATATATATATATATATATATATATATATATATATATATATATATATATATAGTAATCTTCCAGTCAAGCCTTCCTAATCGGAGCCGCCGTCCTGACAACGGCTTTTGTGGCCCTTCTCGGTGGAATTTTTTGATGAAGTTTTACGACATGTTCTTCATCAAGTCTAGTTCATCCACAAAAATTTCAGCTAAAAATTCAATCGGGAAGGCCGTAAAATGATTTTTGGAAGATAACTTCGCCAAAATATACATATAAAACGTAGTTAACTTCCAAAAATTATTTGATGGCCTTCCCGATTGAATTTTTAGCTGAATTTTGTGTGTGGATAAATTAGATTTGATGAATAACATGGCATAAAATTTCATCAAAAAAGTAGTATGGGAAGGGGCCGAAACGCCGTCGTCCGGACGGCGGTTCCTATCCAGAATTTCATACAGGAATATTTCATTCTCTCTCTATATATATTTATATATATATATTACTAATAGAATATATTTTAAATATAAAAATTTAATAAGCCAATAGATTCAACTCATGATTGAGAACTTAATAAATTTTGAGTGGTGTTTGGTGTACAAACGTTTTGTACACAATTTGTATACAACCTCTTCGGTTGTCTATTTATAAAACAGTTTCTTAATGAATTACCTACGTAGATAAATATCTAGATAGACGTACCCAAAATGTGTACAAGAAGTGTCTATCAATAGTTTTTTCCCATTAGAAAAAAAGCAAATAGTCCGAACTCTTTCATTGAGCACACTAGTCTTTCACCCGTGCGTTGCACGGGATTTCAAAGTATACTAATTCACACAAGTCTTGGTATTACACAAGTGTTACCAATTATTTAGAGTAGCCTATATCAACATGTTTTAAATCTAGAATTTAGAGTTAAGTGTTTAGTTGCTAATGATGTGAAGAAAATATTCATGCAAATCAATATAGGAAGAACTAAAAAGCACTACCCAAAAAAACTTTTTTTTATTTATGGAAAACGTTCAAATATATTAGATCAAACAATCATTGGACAATAGATTTACAACGCAATCTATAATCGGTGGCATTACAATCTGACAAAGAAAGGTCCACTCAAGCAAGAATATGAGCAAATTCGTAGATCGTATACAATAATTAATAACAATGCTTTCATCAGATAGAAACATCTGTCTAATATAATCAAGAATAATAATAATATCATAAAAAGATAAACCCGACTCTCCCTGAATCCCAGTCACCACTAACAAAGCATATGTTTCAACAATCGTACGTGACCAGACTTTCTCCTTTGCCAAAAACATTGCTTCATGTACTCCTAGCGCCTCCGTTATAAACGAAGACCAATCTGCTGCCACCGCATCCATGTTTACTTTAGTCCACCCCACTGCCAGTTTTCGAATACCCAATGCTGATAATTTTAAGCAAATATCCAAGAACAGCATATGTATGTAAAGAAACAGTCGATGTAGATTAGAAAAAATTTGCAGTAAGAGAGGCGATGGCCAGGTGCGGCGAGGTGCGGCAAGATGGAGAAGATGGGTAGTAAATGAATTTTTCAGTAAATGAGAAGAATCGAAACGTACGTAATTAAGGAGTAACGTAATAATAATTAATCCTAATAAAAAGATGAAAAGGTAGTAAATGAGGAGAAAGACAATTAAAAGGAGTGAGAAACTAGAAATAGTTTTGGGAGAGGATACAGGACAACCCAAGTATATAGGACTTACCTACTCTTCTTGGGTTCCACCTAATTACGTCCCGGAAAGGAAGACAACCCATCCCGGAAATTATGACATATGGAGTAAATGGTACCTACCATTTCCCGCGGCCTCTAGAATGTGAAGACAGCAATGATAGCCGTTCGCCTTACAAGCATTCCAAATGAAGACATTAACGGGGAAGCTTATATAAAACTGGGACTTGGCAGATAACGATATGATTTCAGCAATTGCATCCCCAGTAACTATAGAAACCTAAGCGACTGTATCTCCCACAACTCCGTAAATCGGCATTCCAAACAACTAGGAATAAGAGATGTTCATGATCAATCTAATCTTTCAAATGTTCTGAAGAATTCTCACGTATTCATTCTCGGGCCAGGAGTTGGAGTAGTAGCAGTGGTCGATATTCATCAAGCGTTGCTAGTTGGAAGAATGGAATCTCACCCAAAATAGCAAGTGTTCCACAATAGAGGATCCATAAGTTCTTCTTAACGTTGCCAGAATGCACGGGTGCTGTTTGAGAGAATGTCACAAAGACAGAGTGGTTTGTAGCAGGCCCCACGGTGATGAAAGTATGAAATTGATACGAGTCGTGCTGTATCGAGAAGAGTAGGCGTAGCGACAAGTCGATCCCCGCTAGCGGTAAGGCATGTTAATTTGTTGCAAACTTGCAACTCCTGAGAATTGAGAACTTGAGACTATTGATTTTCTTGAGTGCGTGGTGGGGCCGCAGTGGTGACAGCCCCCTCAGTTTGGGTTTTGCATAGTACTCCGTAGTTATTTAGTCAAGTCTATCATTGATTCATTGTATATTTGTAGACGTACTCTTACACGTCATTGACGTCAACAACAATAAAAAGGAGCATACAGGTGGGTGGAAAAATAAGAAAGTTAAACCCCATCTGAATGATCTGAGGGCCCCTCAGCACCGACAGACTGTTTAAGGTGGACGGGTATATGGTGTTTGGGGTATTCACTATTCAGTACTGCAGGAAGCAGGCCCATTGCAGGTACACACCAAAAGACTGGATCTTTAGCACTCTTGAGTCTTTTTATTTTAAACTTAATTTGTACGAGTATCGTGCTTGCATACCTTCACTTCAATCATTACTTCCTGGATTTCTTTATTCAAAGATCAAATCTTTTTTCTCATTGACCACGGATACAAAACATATACATGTTGTACCCCTCTTGTTTTTGCATGTATTTGGAGAGGGAAATTGAGAAGCCCCACCTTATATACTTTTATTGTTTATTTATTTTAAAAAGTTAGGTTCGGCTTTAAAGTGGTGTTTAACTTTGCAGCATCACGTGCTTTTCTTTTCAGACTCATGGCCTGATAAAATTATTACTATAAGTCGTAGTATAGCTCAAGAGGTTGAATAGTATGTCCCATGTGTAATTTCTTGGTGTAAATGCCCAATCGAGCACACAAAAAAGAGAGGTGGGTTCTTGGTTTTCTGGGACAAAATAAATGTGATGTGTGAATGAGGAATAGAGAACCGAATATGATAATCTTGTTAAGTGCTTCTTGCATTATTAAAGTTTCGTTTTTGCTATTTTTGTTGCTTTGAATCAATACTGTTTTGTGTATTTGGGCCAAGTGTAGGAGTAATGGCAGAGGGGTATGAAGATGAAGAGGTATTTGGAGAGAGCCTAAGGGAAAAGCTTGGTGCTACAGCTAGAGATATCGAATGGACCTATGCAATCTTTTGGTCCATTTCTTCTTCCCAAACAGGGTACTAAAACTTATATTCTTACTGAAACTGGTTTTTCTGTTTCAAACAAAGTAAATTAGCTTCAGCGTGTTTTGCCTAATACTTAGAAGCAAGTTATTAATTTCAGAAGTAGCTCACCTCCAATGACTGAAAAGCTATTACCATTTTTTTTGTTTCGCTTCATAACTTCATCACAATAATTTTCCCATAGCACAAATTCCTATTCTTGGAAACACAACGAGTTTTTCTAAAAAGCACATTCTGAACATTAATTATAAAGATTCCATCTTGTGTGTAATTACAGGTGAAAAAAGTGTTGGAATAATTATTTTATATTCACTGTGATTGTACCCCATCTTTTTACCTTAATGTACATTTCATGAATGAATTACTCCTGTATTGGAATCCGGAGAAATGTATTAATTGTATAAGTAGTACAATTCTAAAAGCATGGATGACATGAAGTGCTGTGTGGTTGTGTTTAGCTAAGTTGTGAATAAATTATATAAATTAGGGTTCTGGAATGGGGAGATGGGTACTACAATGGAGATATAAAGACCAGGAAAACGGTGCAGGCTACAGAAATCAGTACTGATCTGTTGGGATTACAGAGGACTGATCAATTGAGAGAGCTTTATGAGTCTCTGTTAGCGGGTGAAGCCAAGCCACAACCAAAGATGCACTCTGTTGCATTGTCACCGGAAGATCTCACTGATACGGAGTGGTATTTTTTGGTTTGCATGTCATTCTCATTCATATTCAACATAGGCCAAGGGTAACTCTCTTGCTCCCTTTCATCTTTCTGCACTTGTAATTTTTTGGGTATGTGACGGGAGGGTATGGTTTTTTATTGTTAATGTGTCCACTCCCAAACTTCATTTCTTTTTAAAAATTGAAAGAACAGACAATGACCCATAAATGAAGAGAGCACATTGTACTTGTTCCTAGGGCTGAACATTAGTCTAAAATCGGATCAGACCAGATTGAACTAGATCCAGAATTTAAAAGGAAAAAGTTAGCCCACAGAGTAGACCTATTTTTAGCTAGCCCACAGAGTAGACCTGTTTTTTTCTGGCCCAGGACTGGCAAGAATATTCGAGGTCAAACTGAAGTAATGCAAGACCGGGATCACATTTCTTTAAAAATGCTTTTGCTATCTCAATCTTTAAAATTAAAATTGACTTGCCATGCGTAAATAAAGAAGAAAAGTGAAGGTTTGACGAATGTACATGACTAAACGTATGTTGACTATGGTTTCGTTTGCTTTTTGGCTTTTGATAAGTAACTGAAGAATCCAAGAAGAAAGTAGTAGTTTATTAATGAACATTTAGTGAAGGAATACAGAAAGTCATGAAAGGAAAGGTTTGAGACTCTTCGAGTGGTCTCTCACTCCCAATATCCCAGTCCTGATCCCAAGTTCTGCCTCCCCATCTACTCACCACTCACCCTTATTTATTCTATTTCTAATGGGCCAGTCAAGGCCAAATACTACCAGGCCCAGGACCCTCTATTACACTATCACACTTAATTATTATTATTCTCGTAAGCCCATTATCCTAACATATCTCCCCCGTTGGACAACCACCTTGTCCTCAAGGTGGGTGATATTAAACAGCCTTGATCTTTAGGTTCACCTTCATTCTTGCGCCTCTCCCTTCCCAGTACTTCACTGCTTTCTGGACCCATACCTTCCTGATTTGAACCTTCATCATCACTCCTTCAATAGCCAGAAAGAGCATAGCAAGAAAGAGCAGAGGCAAGGACTTTGTTGCATCCTGCTCCACAATGTTGCAGAGGTAAAGATCTTCTAGCAACTGCATCTCTGGCCCAACTTCCCACCACTTTATGCTGTATTTCCTGAAATTTTTCTCTGCAGCTTCAGCAACTGTCCCTTCGAGCAAAGCATGAGTTGAAAGTGAGCTGGCATCGGCCTCAACATTTTCTGCCCCTTCCGGATTATCTGGTGGACGTCCTGTGGGTTGAATATCGTCATCGTTCATCTCCCTAAACGTGTAATGAATGCCATAAATAGCAGAGAATGTGGGTAGGTTTGACTTCCTTTTTAATATAGAAGATAAGTGTCTGTTCTCCAGCTCCCATACCATAGGACCTTCCATGTTGTTCCCTCCAACTGCTTTCAGCATACCATCTGTGGTCCCCATAGTTAAGAACTGTTCAATAGGGTCAAAATGATTCCAGTACATCACACCACCACCAAAGTGCTGATTATAATCCATACCAAGACAACCAGAGACCTCTAATTCGTCTTCTGTGATATGATAGTGGTGCAGTACTTTTTCAGCATCACTATTGTTAGCTACTTTCATAAGATCAGAATTGTAGCAGTGAATATAGCTCAAACTATCAAACCCCTCAAAGGAATTATTTTGATTTTGCATTTCAATTTTGTCCTCCTTTTTCTCAGACTTTGATTCATCCTCTTCCATTTCCTCAGTTTCCTCTTCAGAGAGAGTTTTCTGCGGATTGCCTGACTCTTGTGACACGTACAGCAACGGTGACGTGGAGGCTTCTCCTTCCAATCGCATCGTGCCTTGAAGTGAACTGCTAGGGTAGGATGAAGTCTGCGAACTGATGGTGTCTCCTCTTTCTGGAGTGATACTAGGGTTCGCATAGGGATTTCGCAGCGATTTGGAGTCTCCTTCTGATAGCCTCACACTTTGATTCGAGATGATAGTAGATGAAGAGACCTGCGAACAAGGGAGATCTATTTGCGAAGAAACTTGTTGACCGGAAGATGCTGTTCGCGACGAAGCTGAAGAGGCTTGCGAAGACATCTACGGACCGGTAGAATCAGCTAGCGACTGTGAAGAGACCTGCGCTAGCGAAGGTGTCTGCGAACTACGTGAAGCAGTTCGCGATTGCGAACTAGGAGGAGCGACGGACGGAAACACCTGATTTTCGATTGGCCGACGGTGTCTAGGTGGACTCCTAGCTCTGTCTCTATGTCGCCTCTGACGGTGACGAAGTTTGCACAGCATATAGCGCAACTCCTTCCACTGACTGTCGCTATTGTCCATCTTCTTCTTCTTCAACTGTCGTTGAAACTGACGATCGATTCAGGCTCCAGGAAGGATGCTTTGATACCAATGATAAGTAACTGAAGAATCCAAGAAGAAAGTAGTAGTTTATTAATGAACATTTAGTGAAGGAATACAGAAAGTCATGAAAGGAAAGGTTTGAGACTCTTCGAGTGGTCTCTCACTCCCAATATCCCAGTCCTGATCCCAAGTTCTGCCTCCCCATCTACTCACCACTCACCCTTATTTATTCTATTTCTAATGGGCCAGTCAAGGCCAAATACTACCAGGCCCAGGACCCTCTATTACACTATCACACTTAATTATTATTATTCTCGTAAGCCCATTATCCTAACAGCTTTTGAGTGGAAACGTCGTTCCAACACGCTGCAATATGCAGCGTTTTTAGCTCATTTGTGTTTAGCGTTTTGGCTGAAACGCCGAAACCCAAACATGCCCTATGTTCCAGAAATGTCTTTAAGAGTGTTTGGTTCTGAAATGCTCGTAAGCCAGGGGTGGAGTCTGAAATCATGCTAATGCTCTTTTACATTACAACCAGGTTGCCTGGGAGGGCACTTGAGAAGAAGCAAAGTATTTGGCTATGCAATGCAGACCAAGCAGACAGCAGAATCTTTACCAGATCATTGCTTGCAAAGGCAAGTGGAGCAATTCTTACCCAAATCTCGTCTAGCCTGCGCAAAAAAGAAGCATTGTTTAACATTTTGATACTCAATCTCATGACACTATATTTTTTTGTCTTCAAAAAATGCCTCCTCTACTATGTATTTACGTTCTATTATACATGGCCGTTCAGAGTGCATCTATTCAGGTAAACCATTTTTTCCCTACATCGTTACTTAGCACGATCTTTCCTTTCTGTATAAACTTTTCAGCAAATTGCTACTGATTTCAATTGAGAATGGCTTTTTTGTTGTTGATGTTTTTGTGTGATAGACTGTTGTATGCTTTCCACACTTGGGAGGTGTAATTGAGCTGGGAACTACTGACTTTGTAAGTGAGCTTCAATTTTTCATATTTCCCTTTGCCTCGTGCTTTTTCTTGGGTGATATGTACATCAGGTCCCTAATAAAAGTCACAGCTGTGATACTTAATGATAAACCGCTCTAGTTAGATGCTTAGTCCCCTACTGAGTTTCAATACTTATTCACAACTAAGTTGAAACATAACCCTTCAATGATGAATGCTTGCATTTTTTATAAAGCATAATTGTTCTCTTTAATTTCAAATTTATACTTTAGACAAAACTTGTAAACTTAACCAAGGTTTGTGCGGCATCGCGGTGAGTTTTAAGTTTTGTTTTTTTGTTTGTTTTATAATGAACTACAAATAATCATACTTCTAGTAATCATGTTAATTTTGAAAAGTGCCAACAAAAAACTGAAAACAAATTATATTTAGGTTAATATTTTTATAAAATTATTCATGAGCTTGTAAATTTTAGACTTCAATTATACGTAGTACTAGTTTTACTGCAAGACTAATTTATAAATGATAAATTTCTTCGCTTTCACAAAAAACTCATATTCTCAGGTATTGTTTGGCTGAAATTATTGAATTGCTGGAATTTTTGAAAGAAAATGTGTTCAGTCTCGGCCAACTAAGTAAATCAGAAACTACTATTTTATTATCTTGCTCAGTACGATCAAAATAAGCTGAGTGAGGCTCGAAAAATATATGGAGTTCGTGCAAAGGGGTCCATTGATTGCGCCAAATTACTCCTTGATGGGAAAGTGCACACTAGATTTTCCTTAATCAGGTTGCCAAAGAGTGCCTAATTGTTATTTTTTGCCTCCCCTTTTGCAGGTTCAAGAGGATCTTGGCCTCATTCATCGCATTAGAACTTCGTACCTGGACGGTCCTCACATTATCATTTCCAAGGTTTTACCTAATATCAACCCTTTTTCTCCTCCTCCAGAATGTGCCGACAACAATGATATAGGTTCGTCTTACAAGCATTCCAACGATTCATTTATGGTTGAAGACATCAATGGGGAAGCGTCACAGCTACAAAACCGGAAGTTTGCAGATGATGATGATGATGATGTTAGCAATTGCATCTATAATCATTCTGGGAACTCAAGCGATTGTATCTCCCAGAACTATATAAATGGGCATTCCGAACAACAACAACAACAACAAGGAATAATCGATGTTCATTATCAATCTGTTCTTTCAAATGTGCTGCAGAATTCTCACCAATTCATTCTCGGACCGAACTCCCGGAGTAGAAGTAGTGTTAGTGATAGATACTCATCAAGCTTTGTTAATTGGAAGAAGACAAGCTCAACTAAAACCATAAGCGCTCCACCAGGACCACCACAAAGGATCTTGAAGAAGATTCTTCTTGATGTTGCCAGAATGCACGGATGCTCCTTTAGAGAATGTCACAGAGAGAATGAGATTATTAGTGGACCCAGAGCTGATTTAACTGGTAGGAGCCGTGCTGCGTTGGAGAGCAGGCGTAGAGAAAAGTTGAACGAGAGATTCATGATTCTTGCATCTTTGATCCCTGCTACTTGCAAGGTATGTTAATTTTTTGTTCAAATCAAATCTTTTTTACCCCTCGAGTGGGAAGCTCTATTCTATGAATATTCAGCTGCCTAGCGCCTGCCTGATCGGCCGAATTGGCTGGCAATTGTCTTTCAGTTCATTTTTTAAACATAGTTTGAATATTCACTTTCATTAAAATGCATCTTCTTTCTTAAATTATTTTATTTTATTTATGGAATAACATTTCTTTGGGAATATTCGTCTTTTATACTCTGCCAGTCTGCCTATAAAATATAAATGATCTTCACTCCTTTTTCCATACGTCCCAAAACTATCACCCACTTTGATTGAAAATAATATGTGGTTGACATTGTTTATTTCTCTTCAAAATAAATACTACGTACGAGACAAAATTTTTAATTTCTTAAATTTTAACTCAATCGTTTATTAAGGACTCAGGTATTAATTGAATTATCATGTCATTAGTTGTTTTACTGATGTTGCTGCGAGTCTCAAGTGTGTATTTTTATTTTCTTATTTGAAATTAGATTTATAATCTTAAAAATCAAACCAAAAACATTCTCAGTTTGGTCTCGTTGCAAGAGTATACTGTGTAAATTGGGACATAGGGAATATTACATTATATATTTATATATATATTCCGTCCAGTTACGGTTTACGATGGTTAACTGAGTATAAAGTTTAACCGTCCCTAACAATATTTAAATTATTTTTAGCAATTAAAATTTATATGTTTAGGTACTACACTATAAGGGGATGGAAGTTCAATTGACCGCATTGAATAGTGAATAAGAAGTTTAAACAGGGAAGGATTTAGTATTTATTTATTTTTAAAAAATTATAATAAAATTTACAGTAATTTAAGTATACTAATTATTATAATCTGTATAACTAAAATATGCAAAATTTCTATTCTGTATGACTAGATCTAATTTTTTAGTAATCACTTCACTTTTTAATAAAGGAGTATTTTGTTACAAAACTGTAACTTTTAGGAAATAATAAACGAAGTACTACGTATATAATTATATATATTAACTAAACCCGCACGGTTAGCTCAATTGGTTCATTGGTGGGAAATTTGGAACAATGACCAAGGTTCGAAACCCGTAGCGGCCGTGTGGAGGTTACAGCTCTTGCGTGTTGGGCTGGACCTCTGGTGCGCACGGGTATAAGGCCTACCATCATTGGGCCGACTGAGTCGCCGTGACTTACATCCTCCCAAAAATCCTGTCGGGTGGCGGTGTGGGGGCTCCTGGGGTGGGAGATTCCACCTTTTTTGGAACAATATATATGAACTAATATCATTACCAGAAAAAGGAAAATATCAATAATAAAAACAAAAGAGCATAAAAATAAAAAAGAACCTAGTCTTCTCCTTCACAATAGCCTATCGTATAGGACGGAGATTAGTACGATTAGGGTATTTATTATCAGTAGGCAGTAGACTAGCACAATTAGACGAACGGAAAACAATTAGACACAAGACTTAAGCTCCAAGTAAAACAGTGAGGTTTACTAAGTTTTTGCAGGGTGACAAGATATCTATACTTGATGAGACAATTGGATATCTGAAAGAACTTGAAAGAAGATGTAGAGAGGTTGAATCTCAAAAGGACTCAAGAACGAGAGGAGGAGTATCTGATGATGGTGATGATGACAATGATGATGATATGGATAAAACATATGATCATAAGTGTGGCTCTAACAGAGCTGATAAAGGCAACTCATTGTCACAGAAGGGGAAGAACGAGGATGATATGGAAAAATGCCCACACGACAACTACAATGGTTTTGCCAAGAATGGTTTAGCTCACGGTGTTAAGATTAGCGTAAATGAAGATAATGTCATGATTGAGATGAGGTGTGCTTGGAGTGAGGGAATGCTGGTTAAAATAATCGAGGCGTTGAACCATCTGCATTTGGTTTGCCATGAAATACAATCCTCCAACACCGATGGGATTCTTTATGCGACTATCAAAGCCAAGGTACTTCTATATGTGAAGATTATGTATTATCTATTTATTTATTTATTTATTTATTTTTATTATCTAAAGATTAAGAAATATAAATGCGTGTGAAAAAGTGATCATATTTTCTGTTGTGCTTTCCAAACAAACATCAAATAAAGCTACTTATTTCTCTTAGCAAACCCCTTCTAACATTTTCCTTGGCCCAAACTTAGAGGTGCAAACGAATAAAATCCTTATTGAATCGTTCAAAATTTGAATCCATATATGAAATTCGAATCTGAGTGTTACCGAATAGGAAAAGATTTTATAACAATTATCAAATCTGAATCCAAGTATCACATATTCAAATTTGGTGTTCGTTAAATAGAAATTGAAAGACCATCACATTTAATGGATAGAGACATGCACACAACAATTTAAATATCCATATAGTAATTACATAATTTATCTCTGCAGTTTTTCCACTTTTGTTCTTTTATAGTTTAATAATGAATTGATGAATCAAAACTGAATGATTTCTTATTTTGCTGAACGAATATTCAAATCCTAATATGAGTAAAACTTGTTGAGTTGAATCCAATTACCTTGATTTTCGGATATTTGGTTTGATTCTTTTACTCCCCTGGTCCAAACACGGCATCATTTCAAATTCCCAACCTTTTTTTTGGTCTCTGCTTCTAAATATGCAGATGGAGGAGTTGAAAGCCACATCAACAGGTGTGATTACACAGACACTATTGGGACTAACCTGATCACTTTTGTTCCGTTGCATAATGTCTAGAATGTCTTCCTTTAAACTTCTGTTTGTACTGAATGATGTATATGCCAACTTAACCATGTATTATTCTTAGTGAGTGAATTGTTTCCTGTTTCCGTTTTTGCAACTTTGAGAGCCTCTTCTGGAAAAGATTTTAAAATAAAAATAATAACTCTAAATAAAAATTACTTTAAATAATATCAACTATAGTTTATCAACCAATAATAAATACAACCTTTTAGAAACGTATTAGAAACTCCAAACTTTGATGTTTCTATTGTGTGAAGTCTACATAGTTTAAAGAACTTGAAAACTTATTTCCCAAATTAAGAAATGTTGGCTCTTATTTCTTTGGGAGCAATAGTAATTTGTTGTGCAATTTTTGAAATCAACAAATTTGAAAAGCACTCCCTCCGTCTCATGTCAAGGTTCTCTACGTGGTTGGCAATATTTTTCTCTCCTAAAATGTGCATTATTTTAATAATTAAGGATTATGTATTCAGAAACTATAATTATGTTTTATTATAAATTGTTAAACATAAATTCAAAGACAATTAAAGTATAATATCTTAAATATCTTAAATAAAGACGAAATAGAGTTAAGATGACCGTTAGAATTGTGTATGAGAACCTTGATATGAGACAAATATAATAAATACCCCTAGCTATTTGGCATTTTGGCAAGGCAAGCTCAATTTTTGGTGATTTATTGATACAGTTGGTATTTTAATGGGATTCTTATTTATTAAAGGGATTCTTAATAACAACGACATTTTATAATTCAATGCTTTGCTATCACTCTAGAGTCTAGACACGGCACAATCCGTCAACAAATCTAAATTGTACCCATTTTCCCTTTGTATTGAAATGGCACCACAATCAGAGGCCATTTTATCCTTTTAGGTTAAAACCGGAAATAAATTGAAATGAAATTGGTTGACTTGGATAAAATTTTAGTTCTACCATGAGTTATTCAGAACTGATTCTACTTTGCTTCTTTTTTAGAAACATAAGCACAATCAGAGTAAGTTTTTCAGAAGGTATTCTCGCTTCTAAAAAACTCCTTTTAAGAGCAATTAGGGGTACCTAGAAATACTACATTTTCACTCAAACACACTAATATTTGTTTCTGCTTGCTGAAAGAATAGAAGCAATTTTAAAAAGTAGATCCAAACACCCATATTACTTCAACTCGAAATGGGAACGGATTAACCTAGAAACCAAACCAGCATAGCAATAGCTACCCGGGTGGCCGGGTCCAACCTTATAATGTATTGCATTGCTCATTTTATTTGGACTGTTTAGGAATATATATTGTCAATTCACATATCTCCTTCCATGCTACATTGCTACCCAAAGGAGTAGAAACAGTTTCGAGAAGCAAATCCAAACATCTCTTATTACTACAACTCAAAATAGGAACAAATTAGCCTAGAAACCAAACCAGCACAGCAATAACTACCTAGTCAAACCTTATACGCTGCTAGAAATATGTTGTGTTGCTCATTTCATTTGGATTGTTTAGGAATATATATTGTCATCATTTAAGAAATTCCGCTCAAACTCACCTTGGTTATTTGAATTAAGATCTCTCACATGGATGATATCGACTTATCGAGTATGCAAGATAATTCACTTGAATCAGTCTCACACTCTCACCTGTCATATGAACTTCTATCCCTTATGGATTAGAAATTGGACACTGGAGTTCCAACCCAATAAAGAGGCTGACAATTTGGCATACCTCAAACTCTCAAAGAATATATATGTAACCTTATGGGTGAGAATATAATGATAATTTCACATGAATGTTGACACTATGGGAATATGGGATAACCCATAATGTCCGGTAGCAATCCTCTAAAACTAACATACTAAGGCTGACAATATAACGATACTTCTTGGTATAAATCATTCCAAAACTCTCTGGTTTCACTAACACCAGAGATTAATCATAAATCACAATGGAAGGATTATTCCCATTCAATGGTTGATGGAGGCTTGGAAGTGATATCTAGAAGGACTCGGTTCACTCCCCGGACACCATTACATATTCTTCTTGACACTTCATCGAGGAACTTGAATTCAAAGTAGTACCTGAATTTGAAGTTTCAATAAACGAATTTACATCAAATAAACCCTTATTTAGAGAGTGCATAGAGAAGAACAAGGTATGCATGTATGTATGTGTGAGTGCACGCGCGCGAGTGTGTGTGTAACAGATACTCATTTGGTCTGTCCATAAAAAGAGTGCTATATCTAATCCTTTTTTGTCCCAAAAAGGAAGATAAGCTTTCAAGACAGGGTAACAAACAAAACTTACAACATACAAGATAGCTTTTAAAAAATAAAAGTATCATTTGTCACTTGTAACCGTTATGCTTTTACCGAAAATAAAAAAATGTACATTGGTCATAGAACATTTAAATAAGATGGTAGGCAGTATATAACTATAACAATTCATGACAAATAGCATAGATGGTTTTGGGCCTAGGACCTCCCTTTAAACTTTAAAAATATGCTTCATTATATATACATTAACCAATAGAGTTTTTGTAAAACAAATTAGTAATGAAAATAGTTTATGTACACCCTAAAGACCTAAATTATTAGTTGCACTTTTTATTGTACAATAACAAACAATAAATAGTCAATACGAATATACTATATAAAAAAGTACCAGTCTGCAGTCATTCCATCTTGACTAGTTACTGCCCTAAGTGCAACAGCATGAGAATGTGTTCTTTGATCTCCCTGAACTCCCACTGTTTTCACTGGCAAAAACACAGCAAATGCTTGCCAGATATCATCATAAATCCCAGCTTCCTTGATTGATTGAATGAAAATCTCATCCACCTGGGGGAAAAGCCAAGAGAAAAATTACAATGGTTATGAAAGTAGGAAATTAAATAAACAGGTTTCTGGGTTAATCATTTAAGTATAAAATTCAATACTATTACTATGGAACCCTAAAAATACCAAGGGAAGAACATATAGAGGAAAATTGTGGGGGGGGGGGGGGGGTTGGAAGGAAAGAAAATTTGGAAAAATGCAAAAAGAAAAATGAAATCAATTCTGAATAAGTTGTTCAGTTTCATTTCATTTATATATTCCCGAGTGTTGTACAAACACTGACAATATACATCTGTGTACATTTTAAAAAATATAATCAAAATAGATTTTCGTTTCTACATACATTAAAAAACTATTTTCAGTGGCATTTTTCTCCTTCCCTACCATTTTATGGGCACCAAACATAGCCTTAGAGTTTGAACAAAAGCTCTTATCTACCTGGCGGAGAATTTCCAAGGCATTTCCTTCTGTGACATCACCTGGAATTCGAACAGCGAGGCCAGGCCCAGGGAAAGGATGGCGTTTCAGAAAAGCCACCGGAATATTTAAAATCTTTCCCAATTCACGAACCTGCCAATCAATTGAAGCACCATATAAAATAGTTACGATATTAACTTATTCATAATATTAATTATTAATTAATTAACTACCACATCAACAGAACTAGTCACTGAGCCTGTTTTGATCTACTCAGAGAGAATGGAATGTTAAAATTTTAAAAAAAGATGAAATAATAGAAATGAAACCTCATCCTTGAAGAGGAGTTTTAGTGGTTCAATGAGCTTCAACTTCATGTCTTTGGGAAGCCCTCCAACATTGTGATGGCTCTTAATAGTGTGTGAGTGTGTCCTTCCACTGCCTGGTGGGGGGCACGACTCTATCACATCTGGATACAATGTTCCTTGGACCAAGTAAGTAGGTTTCTTCCCTAATTTCTTCTCTAAATCTTGCGCAAACTGATCAAATATGCAGATGAACTCCTTCCCAATTATTTTTCTCTTCATTTCCGGGTCCACAACACCTTTTAGTTTGCTTAGGAATTGATCTGTTGCATCAACACAAGTAACAGGTAAATGGAGATCCCTGTGAAATGTCTCCATCACCCGCTCACTTTCTTTATACCTGTGCCGCAAATATTATAATATATAATTGATTAAACCACAAAACAAAGTATTAGCAGTGCTCATGGTGAGTCATAGAATGTACTCCTATGTCCCATAAAAAGGTGTCCTGTTTGAAAACTTAAGCTTTCCTTAAAAAAGTGTTCTATCTGAAAGCTTATTTTTCCCCAAAAAAGCGTTTACAAAACAATACTTCCTGGCAGGGGCGGAGCCACAGCACTGGGCCGGACTGGGCCGGTAACAAAGATTATTTTTGGAAAAAAATTTATACAGAATTTTTTACACTAAAAATATGGACATTTTTTAAATTTAGGCTGGGCCAGTGCCAGGGTTGGCCCTCCCCTCCTGGCTACGTCCCTGCTTCCTGTATACTTGATATATTTTGAAAAAAAGTGTAAAAAATGTGAAGTGTGTGAAGAGTAGTTAAACCAACATTAACAACAACATCCAAGCCTTATTCCTAAAAGATTTTGGGGTCGGCTAACATGAATTAATCCATGATAAGAAAAATAAGGTAAGATAAAAAGGATATTGAATGGCCAACACCGAAGTTCAAAAAATAGTAAGAGTTGGCGATTACAAATGCTTGCACCTTACTATAGTTGTACCTTGGTGAGATGGGACTCTGACAAAATGGGCAAACAAGTTCCTATCTTGGTGAAATAACTTATTTTGTTAATTACAAATACTAATTGTTTCAACATGAAAGGATAATAAAAAAATAAGGGAAAGTATAACTGTTCCACAACAAAAGTTTAATGAATCAATGCAAATACATCCCGGTGCAAGCCACAGAAAGTCATTTTCCAGGAATCATTTTCACGTGCCAAACACTAGAAAATAAGAAAACATATTCATTTTCCTAGGAGCAAACAGACTAAATAACTACTCTGTATTTTTTAGTTAAATACTTGAACACATCAAAATACAACGGTGACCAAAAATAATAAACCAGAAACTGACCTCAATAGACCATTGTCAACAAAGACACAATGAAGCCTCTCCCCAATAGCCTGGTGTACTATTGTAGCTGCTACAGTTGAATCAACACCTCCAGATAAAGCACAAATGACGTGATCTTCAGGCCCTACTATTCCCTTGATAATCTTTATCTCTTCCTCTAGCACATCCTCCATCTTCCAGCCTGCAGTAACTCCACAAACATTGAAGAGGAAGTGTCTCAATGTTTCCATTCCTTCAGGTGAATGGGTAACCTGCAATACATAGCTGTAAATATTTTTGGGAGTGCTTATAGATATGTATATCTAATAATCTAAATACTCTAGAATAGTGCAGGGGGGAAGCAGATCGCAATGCTATAATGGATCCTAAAAGTCTATTTTTACTTTTCTGATCTGATAGGTAAATCCTAAAAGTATAGAATTTAAATCAATATAATCTTCGTATTTGATATATAAATGATAGGATTCGGGCTCAGTAGGCTAATAATAGAAATAATGATAATTGTACAGGTAGTATAAATAGAGGGAAAGGGAGTAATAGGGGTAGGCTGTTAGACAGTTGAAACTGGGACTGGGAAGATTAGCGATATTCTATCTCTATTTTTGGAACTCTGTAACCTTCGTACACCATTAATAAAGCTTGTAGTCTTTCTTGAGCTATAGATTCTTACTGTTAATCTACTCTATACCTGCGCTAGTTCTAACATTGGTGTCAGAGCATGCGGCTTCTGGAGATAGAGAATCTGAATCATCAATTATCCAGAACTCAACAACCTGGAATGATGGAGGAATTCTATATGACACCGCAAATGGAAAAGAGTTTTGACAACCTGGATCGATAGGCTAAGGAGATAAACGCTAGGTTGGACAGGATTTTGCGTGACTGTGAGCGTCTAAATCGTAGCTGGCATCGATCGAGAAACACCAGGCATCATCGGCGATCTGACAAACAAAGTTCGTCGCAATCGTTCACCACTTCGCAAACGGAGTCGCGGACTGCTTCTCTTAGTTCGCAATCACAAATTTCTTCTCACAGTTCGCAGTCGCGAACAGTTACTCTCCGTTCGCAGACTTCTTTACCGGCTATCAGTTTGCGTCCAAGAAAAACGCGATTGAGTGGAGAATCTTCATCTTCATCGTCAGTCGATTCTCATTGTTCGCCTTCTTCATCTCAAGTCGTCTCTCTGAGTTCACAAGCTACTTCTCCCGGTCTTCTGGCTTCGATGCCAGCAGAAACCCCCAGTTTGCAATCGCTATCAGAGTCCTTAGATTCACAGCAGGAGTTGGTTAATAAGCAGCAACCTTCCTCGGAAGATACGCACACCTATGGCGGTGAGGAACACAAGGAGAAATTGTCAGTTAACCTTGGACCTGAAGCTGGAGAAATTACTCGCTTCCTCACTTGTAAGTTGTAACTACCCCTCCAGGTACTAGCTCGTTAATTCAGAATTGGAACCCAATATGCTGTGGTCGATTGAGCGTAGCCCTCCAATTGATGAATACATTCAAGTCAAGATAAACCAGGCTGTGAAGTCAACCCCTATATCTTGAGGTATTTGGCTGAGAGGAATTAATACTTGTAACCACTCAACTGAGTGGACAAATGTTCAACCAAGGTTTCACGAGGATGCCAGTAATTTAGAGCAATTGATTCCATTTGATGAATGTTTTCATTCACATGCTACTGGAGACTCAATGGTTAAACCTCTCAGTACCTCAACTGTAACGGATCTAGGGAAGGAGGTGTTTCTTGTAACTGATGTGATTGTAGGGATGAAGTGGTTGGTCCATTTGGGGAAATTAGAGGTTATTTTCAGGAAATTCAGCGGAAATGACATTGAATCTCACTTTGAAGAAGAAGATAAAGTCAAAACTGAACATTCTATAAATTCAGCAGCTAAAGATGATGAATCTAGTGTGGTTGGAACTGAGGAAATAGTTTCTGTAGCCTCATTTTGGTCAGGCATTTCCCTTCAACAGCTAAATGTTGACCTGAGAGTTTCTATTTTAACTTCTGCAAAGTTATCTCTTATCATAAGATTCTGTGATAGTCTAGAGGAGCACAAGCTAAAGTCTTGCAAAGAGTATGAGAGTATTGTCCTTCTCCTTACAATTATGGTCTGAAGAATACTAAGGAAAATGAAGGGTTATTCTTTTCTTCTCATAGAAGTTTTTTTTGGAAAACTCGAAAAGAATGCTGCTACATCAATTGGGATTCTATGCTTCATGATCTCTCCAGCCTGAATAACAGCAGCAAAGATTGGACTATTGGAGTTCTTTTAGAGAAAGCGAACTTCCTTCATCTGACAGGCAAGGATGGAACCACAGAATTCTGGCTGACGTACTTGGTAATGAAGGAGCTGAGTTTGTATTCTCGTCCACAAGTTGTTGCTTGATTTCTGTGTTGCCTCACACTAGCAAAGGTTGTTCCATTTTGAAGATAGCCTGTGTTCTCCCACTCTCTGTTCCAAGAAATCAGGTGAAAAGGAAATCTCCTACTGGGGAACGTGCAGTGGCAGAGAGATTTTGGTGGAGTCTTTTTATGGGAGTTGTTTGGTGGGATGACGCTGAGTGTACTCAAAGTGCAGCAGAGGATGGTGTTCTTTTGCTGAAAAGCGTCATTGCGGTCAATTATAACTCAATGGGAAAAATGTCAAATGAAGTTGAAGCAATTTTTAGTTCAATAATTTCTGATGAGCAGATTAAAGTGGATGAGAATCCTGAGGTTCAAGGCATGAACACAAATTCTGCTACTGGTGTAAGTGATACACCTCAGGAAAGCAAGGAAAAATTTGTGGCTATTGAAGGCCTGAAGACTAAGGAAGAAAATGAAACTTCGCCAGAAATATTCTATGCTGCAGAAACATTTGTGAGTTGTAAAGATCAAGTACTGAAGCTCCTTGCTAAGAAACCAGTGAGATATTGGGAAGGTAGAAGCGCCAGGATGAAGAGGAAAATGGAAATCATGGCTATTTCCTATCACCCACCTTGAGGGCAAGGTGGTTGTTTAAGGGGGAGGCATGATAGGATTCGGTCTTAGTAGGCTAATAATAATAATAATAATAATAATAATAATAATAATAATAATTGTACAGGTAGTATAAATAGAGGGAAAGGGAGTAATAGGGGTAGGCTGTTAGACATTTGAAACTGGGACTGGGAAGATTAGGGATATTCTGTCTCTATTCTTGGAACTCTCTGTAACCTTCGTTCACCATTAATACACCTTCGCTCACCATTAATAAACCTTCGTTCACCATTAATAAACCTTCGTTCACCATTAATAAAGCTTGTAGTCTTTCTTGAGCTATAGATTCTTACTGTTAATCTACTCTATACCTGCGCTAGTTCTAACAATAATAGGGCATCATCACTATTTTTAGTATTTTAAAAGTAAGGTACACTAGCATATTATGTTACAGAAACATATGTGTAATTCGTATGTGGAGAAGTACTGCATTTTAAACACCGGAAAAAAAGTGCCGAAGTACTGTCTTCTCATATTTAGATTTTAAATTCATTATTAAAGCACTGAAAGAACATTCAAAACTGAAGCCACGGCTAATTTAGAGGACAAGTATAAACCAACCCACCAAGATGATTTAACACAAACAATTTCTAATTAATTGCGTGCCCACAGGGTGAGATGATCATGAGACTGACAAAAAAGCATAAATTAAGATCATACTCCATACTTACTTAATTACCTAAAAACAATGATACTTTTATTAAGTTATTAAAGCACAACTTTTTTACCATAAAGACACTACTTGGTGTTGCACACAAAGTTAGTATGCATTAATTACTGTTATCCTGAATTTCTGCATCACTAGATAATTTTCTTTTCAAGTAAAAGACTCAACTAAACCCACAGAATTCTAAGCACCACCACTTTGAAACTTCACTACACTGTTCACAAAATAGATACTAGAGGATCTAGCATGAACCTTTTTAATCTTTTGAGTCAACAACGGATCAAATAGACTCCCAACCAGTTAACTCAATAAAAAGCAGATAGAGTAATACATATTCACCTCGGGATGGTACTGTAACCCATAGAACCTTCTGTCCCTGTTCTCAATAGCAGCCACGGCCCCTTGATTACTCCGAGCCACAACATCAAACCCCTCAGGCAGCTTCACGGCTTCATCCCCGTGGCTCATCCAAACCACCTGTCGATCCCCAACACTCTTGTTCCCAAACAACCCACATCCGCCCTTCGCCACCTCAATTTCCATCCGCCCATACTCGTGCTTCTCCCCGACGTTCACTACCCCTCCTAGCTTCTGGACAATCAGTTGCAGTCCGTAGCAGATTCCGAGCAAGTACACGCCTCTAGACTCGACGTATTCAATAAACCCGGGTGGGAACGAAGGCGCTCCATCGGCGTGGACGCTGTGTGGGCCGCCGGAGAGGATGATGACAGATGGTTCCAGCTTGGTTATGGCTTCTAGTGGGGAAGTGCCATTGATGCACAGAGAGAAGACTGAGAGGCTGCGGATTCGGCGGGTAATCAGGTGGGTGTATTGTGAACCGTAATCCAAAATAAGAACCAGGTTTGATTTCACCTCAGGAGCTTGAGATCCCATGGCGGAAGAGTGAAGGTTTAGGGGGGTGGTGAGGATTGAGGAAGATGCAGGGTTTTGGAGGGATGGGAGATGAGGGTTATGTTTTTAACTGCAGTTCTTAGCGCACCCTTGTTGTTTCTTGGCGCATTCCAACTTTATCATGTATGGACAATTTTGTCCTGCGTTATTTTATCATGTACGGAGCACTGGAGCAGTATCCATGTATGGGCCTGGAGGGAGCTGATTAGTAATTACAACTCCGAATTAATGTAATGCTTCTTATTTTTCTTTTTTGTTTCTATTTTCCCATTTACTTAATACTCCCAATAATATTTTTTAGTTTTGTCTAAAAATATTTTATACTACGTACTTTAGAATGTTATATTATTAATTTTTTAAAATTTGTATTTTCAAATATTATAAATAAATAGCCACAAAAAATATATTACTTATGGTTTAAGTCATATGCTGTACAAATATTTTAACTTGTTACTGTCTTAGATTAGACCAAATCCAACTTAAATGATAATAAAGCATACATGTAACCGAGTAGACTCGATCAGATCAAACAAGACCTAATTAAGTATATCTCAATGATTAAAAAATTTAAAATTATGTAAAACTATTGCATAGTATTTCTTTTTCATTTGAAACTCGAGAAAAAACTTTTAGATCGTTCCTTTTTCATACTTTTATGGTGTATTTATGACTAATTAAATACAATTATAAACTTAAATTACATGTCTTCCAATGTAAAGAAAGTATTACATATTTTTATGAATTGCTTTTTATCAATTAAAAATATATTAAATTATTTTAATGGAGGGCATGCGCGTTAAGGTGATAGTGACATCGAGTCAGTGATCGTTAAGACAATAGTGGAAAAGGTAGGGGCATCGGTGTCACTAGTCTGCCGATTTCCATGCCAATGGAAGCATATGCAGGGACGGATCCAGGATTTCGAATCAAGGGGGGCGAATTTTTTTCCGTTAGTGTAGTAGGTGAAATTTTCTTCGCTAGTGTAGTCGGACCATTTTTTTTTCCCGCTAGTGCAGTGGGGCGATTTTTTTCCCGCTAGTTTAGAAAGGCTTTGCGGTAATTTTTATTAAAACAGAATTCATAAGTACATACATGATGATATTTAAATACTCCCTCCAATGCCCTCCATCTCAGAAACAACTTCTCACTTTCCTTTTCGGACAGTCCCGAAATTAACTTCACACTTCTTTCCAGTTCCTTATTTGGCAAATTCTCTATATTCAAAAAGTGCCAAACAGTACCAAACAGTGCCAAACAGTGTCGGAACAGTGTCCATACAGTAAAATTTATCACCCGGTATGTTTATTTCCTTAATATGTGTGAAAACGAAGTTTGAAGTTGTTTACGGGACGGAGGGAGTATATTACATTCTAAGTTTAGACAATGAACAAATAACTTTGAATTTATAATTGTAGGTGCTTTAGAGAAAAGTATTATTAATTAAAGCGTAAGAAATAGCAAATCAAACGAAAATTATTTGAAAATAACAAAGGATATATAACATTTTATCAAATTATTTGAAGGTAAAGAGTTTAAAACATGCACAACCACCAATGTTTTTTAAATAACTCATGTCATGTTTAACAACATGAATCTTATCGGTAAAAGGAATTGATTTTTGAATTACAAATTTTGTTTACCAAGAAGGGTGTTCATGAGTAATGAGGATAGTATGTACGTAGTATGGCATTATTATTTTTAGAATAATATTATTGAATTGCAAGTTTTGCTAATATTACAAAAGTATAGTATGTACGTAGTATGAGATTATTATTTTTAGAATAATATTATATCGTTGATTCTTAGATTGATGTCTTCTCTATCTTTCCTCTCTTTTTTCTTTTATCGTTTATCTTCTTTATCTTTTTATATTCTAATGTTATTTTTTATCTTCTAGCTTTTTTATGCTCTTTTATTTTTTATCTTTTATCTTTCTTATATTCTTGTGTTATTGTTATCTTATATTTATTTATCTTTATTTTATTCGTTTAATCTTACTTCTTTTTCTTCCCTTTCTTGTCTATCTTCTCTGTTTGGCATCGATATCATAGATCGATTCATGTTAGCCGACCTCAAATTCTTTTGGGATTAAGGCTTGGATGTTGTTTTTGCTGTGGTAAAATAAGTTAAAATTTATTACCTATGCAATAGATTATTTTTAAAGAGTAAGAAGTAAATGAATTTTGTAATTTTAAATTCATTTCACATGATCGAAAAATTGTTTAACTAGTGTGTCTCGTATATAATATTGTTTGATATTTTACAAATCGAGTAATAATTATCTAATAAATTAAAGATAATTAAACATTTCAAAACTATGAATTTTTATGTAATAGGTATCCTAAGACTTGAACAATAAGTTGTTCTATTGTTTATTTGCTTAAGTTATGTAAATTATTTTAGATGTTTCATCTTTTAAATCTCCAATTAAGTATTTCATAATGGAATGCTATATATTAATTTTGAAAACTAAAAGTTAAGGGGGGCGAACACATATATATCTAATTAAAGTATAAAAAATTTATGAAAATATTAAATATATTGTAGAAAAATTTGAAAGTCCAAGGGGGGCGGTCGCCCCCCCCCCCCCCCCCCTGCGCCCCCCCTTAAATCCATCCCTGAGCATATGTGAAACAATCCCTAACTGGTGTGAATTTTTCGGGTCGCTGTTGAGGTCATTGGCGGCGGATATTATTCCTGAAAAGTTGTAGACAAAAATGTGACTTGATAACTGACAGAATATATGGGTCTGAACCCATGATCCGCATATTCATGGATACACAACGACGAGGGCCCACACAAAAAGACTCCCAGAAATAAAGAACTCCAAAATAGGATTCAACAACTTAGCTCAAAAGATGACCACCTCGGCCAGGACCTTTAGCAAACAATTTTCGCTCTATGCTATTAGAATAGCCTATGTAACAATCTTCAACGGCCCATCACTGTAAGTGGGTCTCTGAGGCCCAAACATGGGAATCCAATGCACATTTCTTCTACAAATACTTTCATTGAAGTTAGTTGCAGTGATTAGCAAATCATTTAACACCTGAGCTTTGTCTCTCTAGCGCTCACTTCTCTCTAGAACTATACTCTATCAGTAATTGTTAGTGATTATAATTATGTTCAAAGTTTACATTATAGTTACTCGTACTAAATTACATTTTTGTTCATGAGTTTTTTATGAGTAATTTAAAAAAACACTCTTATTTATGTGTAATATATTTAGAATTTCGAAATGTTTAACGTTTTAAAATTATATATTTAAACTATTGTCTTTTTTCCTTTGAAAATTCTAGGAATTATATTGGGATTGTTTATAATACGTTTATGGTGTATTTATGAGTAATAAAAATATTAAGCTATGTGTTTTGAAAATTTAAAAACAACTCTTGCCTTCTTGAGTGTGTTTTAATTTTATTTCACTTTTAAAATATATTAATACTTTTTAATTATTTTATCTTGATCTATGAAATCTACAAAAGCTTGATTGATGTATAGATGAAGTGAAATTTTAAATTTCCTTCTAAATAATAACACACTACATAGTACTTTATAAGGAGTTTTTATTAAAAAACTTTTAACGAGACTAAAATTTAGACAAACCAATAATTTAATAACAAGTGTTTGAAACGGCTTGCGAAGATCAATTGTCATATAAAAAGTTCTACAATGGCATATTAGTCTTGTGGAAGTTACGTTAAGTAACTTTGGGGGTGCGCAAAGCAACCCCCTATTTTTAAACTCAGGAAAAGTTGACAAAATCTTACCTTAGACTCTTGAGTGATCTTCTCATAATAATCACACATTCTCACTTTTAAGTTATTTCATAATAATCCCACATTTGCATTTGATCTTCTTTCGTTGGAGATTGAGGGATAGATGGCTTGTTATATATACCGGGTTCTTTGATTTTTCTTTAAAAACTATATATAAATAATCTCACTTTTCACAGAGCTGCTCAAAACAGTTTCACGTTTCATTTTTTCTTTTTTTAATCTTCTTATATTGTTCCATTTATTTAATTTTTTTATATTTTTGATATCCTTTTTTCTCAAAAGTTTTTTTGTTTCTTCTTCTTCCCCATTTTTTCTTCTACAATGTATTACTATTCGGTTAACTCTTTTTATAAACTATTATATCACATTACTTGTTATTATTTTATTTATTTTTTAATTCAAATTTCCCTTTTTGAATTCTCATTTTTCTTCCTTTTTTCATTTCAACTTCCTTAAAGTATTTGTTTTTATCTTTGTCCCTTTTCACCCCATTTTTTTCACTTGTTTTTGGCGTGTCAGTGAATAGTGAAGTTTTCTTAATCTATATTTCTTGTTTGGGAAAACTGTCAAATAAATCCTCTCATTATTATCAAAAAGTCAATTAAGTACTCATACTTTTAATTGAATCAATCGAGTCTATGAAAGGTTAAAAAATAACGAATTTGGCTTTCTAGCCGGTTGAATACTTGTATTACTGGTAAATGCCAACATGAATGCCCGTCTGGTAATAAATTATGCCTCTTTATTTTTGTTTCTCTCTTTCTTCATCACACGAAGAGTTGTTCCTGGGTTTGCATCCACCGGTTCCTTTTCTTTCTCCCCTGTGACTCCAGTAATCTATCTCTCTTTCTTTCCTTTTAGCTTTTTCGTCGGCGGTGATATCGTCTACTCCATTCATCCGTCGATGGAGATGGACGCTTACCCGGTCGTTGCCCATTAGTTTCAGTCCGGCGACGGTTGGACCAACGCTCCCAGATCTGATGTTAATCTTCTCTTCGATCTAGAGTTGCAGGGATATGGAGAGGCAGGGGAGCTGTTGCGGGGGCCGTTCACTTGGTCAACATTGTTGCAGAGGTTATCCATTTGCTAAGCGCCGTTGGGAGTTGTTGATTTGAGTGGGTTTTTTGGTGGGTTCGCGGCAATCACCGGTGGTCGATGTGAGAATAATGGGAAAGGTTACTCCCTGAGGAGCCCTGACATATATATTTATATTAGAGAGAGTTTAATGTAAAGTACAATACTAAGCCTCTAATACTTCTATTACACCCCCTCAAACTGTGCGGGAGATACAACGCGCAGGTTGTCTTTCAAAAAATGAAAACGTTG